GCTGCTGCACATAGCCGCTCACCGCGACTACGAGCTTCACTCACTTGACTTCAGCACTGCTTTCTTGCAGGGCAGCCTGCACGAGGAGATCTGGCTGCGCCGCCCACCTGGCTTCACTGGGTCGTTTCCTTCTGGTACCCAGTGGAGGCTTCAGCGGCCAGTCTACGGTCTCCGCCAGGCTCCGCGTGAGTGGCACGACACACTGAGGACTACACTTGCGGCTCTTGGGTTCGCGCCTTCTACAGCTGACCCGTCGCTGTTCCTGCGCACCGACACTTCGCTGCCGCCGTTCTACATCCTCGTGTACGTCGACGACTTGGTCTTTGCCACTACTGACACTGCAGGACTCGCTCACGTGAAGTCGGAGCTGCAGAGGAGACACACGTGCACAGACCTGGGTGAGCTGACAAGCTATCTTGGCTTGCGGATCACCCGGGACAGAGCACGGCGCACCATCACCCTGACTCAGTCACACATGGTGCAGCAGGTTCTCCAGCGCTTCCGCTTCACGTACTCCTCGCCTCAGTCCACTCCTCTGCCTACCGGTCACTCGCTCTCAGCTCTGCCTTCGGATGAGTCCGTAGAGCCGAGTGGCCCGTATCCAGAGCTTGTGGGCTGCCTCATGTACCTGATGACCTGCACTCGACCTGACCTTGCATACCCTCTTAGCATCCTTGCACGCTATGTCGCTCCTGGCCGTCACAGGAAGGAGCACATGGATGCCGCTAAGAGGGTGTTGCGCTACTTGTGCAGTACGTCGGGCATGGGGCTTGTGCTTGGAGGGCGAGACCGAGTTGTTCTCACAGGGCACTCAGACGCTTCTTGGGCAGACGACCAGGCCACTCAGCGGTCGTCTCAGGGTTACACCTTCAGCCTTGGCTCTGGCTCAGTTTCTTGGCGCTCTACACGCTCTTCTTCTGTTCTCGGCTCCAGTTGCGAGGCTGAGATCTACGCTACAGCCATGGCTGCCCAGGAGCTACGCTGGCTGACCTACCTACTGACCGACCTCGGAGAGCCGCCTCGTTCTCCTCCAGTACTGTACGTCGACAACAAGGCTGCCATTGCCTTGTGTGAGGAGCACAGACTGGAGCACAGAACGAAGCACATTGCCTGCATGTTTACTCTTGGTAGGTTGTGACCACTAGCTTGTGCTCGGAATTTGTGTGGAATCCTCGAGATCCACCCTGAGCTTGCTTTGCTTTGCTTTGCTTTGACTGGTCTTGTGACCCCTAGGTCTCCCCACTTCGCCTATGGGGGTGTGTCAAACATTATATGTTTATATGGTTGTAGGCTGTAGTGGGTTACGCCTTAGGGGGTACACTGGATTAGGGTTTCCTATTTGTATCCAGCCTTCTGTTAGTACAGTCATTCCAGTCCGTTCATTCTGACAAAAATGTTCAACATTAAACAACAACATTACAATTTATCCTTCTAATTTTTTATGTAGGTAGAAATTTCATTACATAGTGCAACGTAACAACAACTATCCAAAAACTACTCTGATCCTCCACACATTCTTTCATTAGTGATAGAACCAACCTCCGGTATTATACCTTAGGAAACAAAAGTAACAATTCCAAAGAAAAGCGTATAAACACTGGCATAAAAGAAAAAATACAGAATCATATGTTCAACACTATTCAGAATATGTGTTACGGAATCACATACTTGAATTGCAGACAGTGGCTCAAGAAAAGCCTCTCAACGAATTGAGAACCAGAATTTGTCAGAATATCTGTAAAAACAAAAAAAAAAAAAAAAAACAAGCAATAAAACATCACATTAGTTGATGCTTTTAAAAAGCTCATCATACATGACACAAAATTATTTTTACATAGTTGTAGTTACAACTCACAATCCTAACTGCACATTGGAATTAGTTGAAAATAGAAACAGATCAGACCATCTAGATGTAAAAAAAAACAATAGCTTGAATGGATGATGTTACCTCTCGGGATCCCCAATAGAACCTTCAACCACAAAAACAAAGAAAAGCAGAAGCATAAACAAAAACAGAGAGGAAAGAATAAAGACAGAGAACATGGGGTAGTACTATAAACGTGGATATGATGTTGACGGCAGCCTAAACACAAAAGAACAAACAAAAGATGAGACAAGTGAGGTTTGCAGCAAGTAAAAAAGGCATGAGAATCAAAGACACAATGACAAGCAGAAACATCTAACTGCATAGAAAAAAAAAAAAAACAAAAACAATAAAAAGCTCATTTGACACTATGATATACATACCCGACCTCTTTCTGGAGAACAAATCAGATCATCTCAAATCAAGGAGAAGATTAGACTTGTTGAAATTCCTGTGCAACTGGAAGTTGATAAAGAAAGAGCAATGCATTGAAACCATTCAAAAACCATATTCTTTCAAAAGTGACAACACAACAAAGATTTGAAGACAAATGAAAAAATACACATCATACACGTCTTTGAATCCAGCAGGGAAGCTTTCTTCTTGAGCGACTGAAAGACACAAACACGGGATTCGACATGGGGAAGCAATCAATGTAAGGCAATCAAGCTAAGAAAAACTATAACGAAGGATATGTTTAAACTTAGCTTCAGAAACAGAAAATGGTGGAAAAAATAATATTAGAGACACTTCATAGATGTTCTGGAAAGTCAGAGCATAGAATCTTACCTATAAACGCACGTAGGAAGTGGCTTGGCTTGAAGATCTAAGGTAGAAGAACAAGAGCTCTAAGAAACTTGTGAGAAGTTGAGATTGAGATGAGTTTGAGAAGTTGAGGAAGCTCTGAAGTTGTCAAACCCAATGGGAGAAGACTTGTTTGAGCAGGAAGGGAAAGATGGGTGCTTTCCTAGAAAACTTTTTTTTTTCGGTGTGAAAACTGCCCTTGAGGAGTCTATCATTAAATGTATCATGAAATTTGCTCACATGTTGGTGCACAATCCTTAACTTGAACTATTTTTGTTGCCCAACTGTCACTTATCCAAAAAGTTGTTTTCAGTGGAGAGAATCAAATGGTCCTTTCTGATGTTATTTTGTCACTGAGTGGAGAGGTGAGCTTGCTTCACTCAATACAAAATCTGCACATGGCAATAGCTAAAACTGTTACACTTCAGGACAACTTGACCTTTGTAATTTGTGGCACTTGAGATTGCATGGCAGCTGCATTTGAAACAGTTATAATATGATCTTTCTAGAATCAGATCAGTGCTGAATTTTACAGTTACTACCGTAGAAAATGACACCTTGAAACCGCGTCAACAACGGCGACAGCTGGCAGAAACAAATGAGTCAAGTGGCTTTGAGCAGTTTTAAAAGCTGTCAAAAAGCTGTCAAAAAACTGTCATACAACCGTTTTGACAGCTGTCAAAAAGCTGTGGTGTTTCTAACTGTCGAAGCAGTTAGAAACACTTGTGGCAACCTTGCAACCACGTGATGAGATTGCGGGCTGACCTCAGCACCGTCGCCTGAAATTTCGCGCGCAAGAAATTTCGGGCTGACGTCAGCAGGGACGCCCGAATTTCGCGCGCGAGAAATTTCAGCTGACGTCAGCTGCGTCGCCCGAGATTTCGCGCAAAAACAATTGCAGCTGACGTCAGCTGTCTCGCTCGAGATTTCTCGGGACTTTCCAGCTGACGTCGGCTTTCCGGATCGGAAGTTTCCGTATAAGCCCGAAGTGACGCTGCTGACGTCATCCGAATCAAACGCGCGATAAAGACAGCAGCACTCTCTCTAGTGAAAACGATTGATAACTGGTAATATGAAAAACATATATACAACTATTTCTGTTTGAAAACTTCTATTATTCCTTTACTTCCTATCATGTATACAAACCATCATCCTCATTTTGGTTTCAGGTTCAGCATAAAAAAATCATAAAACAAAAATATTATACAAAACCGAGTTTCATATCAAAACATAAAAGAACACGCATTTTATTTAAATCCAAATATAACAAACAGATTAACGTCTCAAACTTCAAACGCATGTTAAAAAGTGTTGCTTCGCAACCCTAAGACGATTTCGTCGCCTCTTGTTTTTTTTCTGTCAGGTATAGTGAACAGTGTTGCTCATCTGGCGGAACAGTGGCCCGAATAAATCGAAGTTCAGCGGAAATAAAAGCGCGGTAGAAATCAGTTTGGTGATACTACGGCAATATGTCAATACCTCCAAAACCGAGGTATCGACGGTTTTGCATACCATCGAATAGGGTTACCAGACTAATTTGCATGTATATGATGTTGGCCCCTGTTACTTCGCTCAAACTCGTCTACCAACGTATCCACATTCGTATGGCACGTGGAGTGGGTGTGGTCGGTTGCAAAACTGCCACGCTGGACAGAATATTCCTCTTTTTGGGACTGTTGAGCGCGGTTCGCTTTGAGCTAACTTGCTGTGAACGCCATCTGAATTTCAAGAGTTAGCCCCGCGGCCCCGCGGCCCCGCGGCCCAGTTAGCCCGTCGACCCCGCTAGCCTCGGCGCCCGCGGCCCCGTTAGCCCGTCGCCCCCGCTGCCCGTAGCGCCTAGGCCGTTCGTCCCCCCCCGTGCAGCCCGTCGCCCCTAAGGCCGCCCGTCGCCCCTAAGGCCGCCCGTCGCCCCGTGCATCCCGCCGCGCTTAGGAAGGCCCCCCGCGGGCCCCTCTCGTCGCGCATAGGAAGGCCCCCGCGGACCCTCCCTCTGATCGCGATTAAGTCGCCCCCCCCCCCGCGGGCCCTTTCCGTCGCGCTCCTCCCGTCGCGCCTCGTCGATACGGGGATGCAGCTCGGTAGTAGGCTCGGCAGTTACTCAGTACAAAGATTTGACATTTTACTCAACGGTGCATTTGTAAACAGGCTCGGTCGGTACTCCGTGCGCCGCTGCGTTGGGCACGAGTGCGAGCGAGGAGGGGCGGCGGCAGTCGCGCGGAGAAGAGAAGGTGAAGGCGCGCGAGTGACTGCGGCTCCAGGGAGGGCCGCGCCAGCACCTGCACCGGCAGCTGCAGCTGCCACTGCCACTGCCACCCGCGCGGGCGGTGAGCGCATGGCGAGGGGCGCTGGTACAGGGGCAGGGGAGCTGGACGGGCTGCGAGGGCGGGGCGGGGGGGAGGCGGAGGGACGAACGAGAGGGGACGCGCAGCAAGGGTGCACCGAGGGGAGGGAGAGGAGCGAAGGGGGCGAGGGGAGCGAGGGGGACAGGGGCGAGGGGATGGTGGCGCGAGGGGATGAAGGCCTGGCAGGCGGTGCATGCGAGGATGAGGCGAGCGCGCGCGGAGGCCGCGAGCAGCGGGATCGGGGGGCAGCAGCGGGGCGGCCACGGGAGGCGAGAGACCACGGGCAGGGGCAGGGGCAGGGGCAGGGGCGGCGGGTGATTGTGATATCGGGCCCCACAGCAGTGGGCAAGTCGCGGCTGGCGCTGGCGGTGGCGGAGGCGGTGCGGGGCGGCGAGGTGGTGAGTGCGGACTCGGTGCAGGTGTACCGCCGGCTGGACGTTGGCTCCGCCAAGGCCTCCCCTGACGAGCAGCGCCGCGTCCCTCACCACCTGCTGGACATCCGCGAGCCGTGGCAAGGTGGGGCGCGGTGGGGCGAGGTGGGGCACGGTGGGTGGGGCGTGGTGAGGTGGCGGGGCCGTGCAGTGGGCCGGAGGCAAAACGGTGCGAGTTAGGTGCAGGGTGCGAGTTAGGTCAGCAGCAGCATGTCAGCAGGAGCATGCCAGCAGCAGCATGTCAGCAGGAGCATGCCCCCTCCTCCCCCCCCTTTCATCCCGCCTTTGCACCCCCCAGAGTTCACGGCGGCCGACTTTTATGAGGAGGCACGCGCGGCGGTGGAGGGTGTGGTGCAGCGGGGGGGCGTGCCGGTGGTGGTGGGCGGCACGGGGCTGTACCTCGCATGGCTGCTGCACGGCCGCCCCGCCACCCCCCCCTCCTGCCCTGCGCTGGAACGCGCCGTGGCAGGCGAGATCGAGGCCGCTGTGATGCTCGCCAGGCAGGCCAGGAGGGGGAGGGGCTCGAGGGGGGATGAGAGGAGCGTAGGGGCGGTTGGTGGGGCGGAAGAGGCAGTAGGTGGGGGTGAGGGGGATGGGGATGCAGCAGAGGGAAGGGCGTCTGCTGCTGATGCTGTGAGGGACGGCTTGGAGAAAGCGTTGAGTGCTGATGGGAGGAGCGAGCAGGGCAACGATGGTGCAGGTGTGGGTGTGGGTGTGGGTGTGGGGGGAGGTGGCATGGTTGTGGGGGGAATGGAGGACGAGATGGGGGGGCGGGCCGAAGCAGGGAGAGGGAGAGAGGCGAGGGAGCGGGGGTGGGCGAGCAGGCAGCCGAGTGTGAGGTATGCGGAGGAGGGCGACTGGGAGGCCGCTCTGGCTGCTCTTGCTGCTGCGGGCGACCCAATCACAGCAGGCCAGCTGGCTCGGAATGACTGGTACCGGCTGACCAGGGCGTTTGAGATTCTCAGGGTATGTGTGCGTTTGGGAGGCACTGTGTGCGTGTGGGAGGCACTGTGTGTGTGTGGGAGGCACGGTGTGCCTGTGGAGGGGGAAAGAGTGGTGAAGGGGCAGGAGTGTTCAAAGCATAGTGGAGGAGGAGTGTGCGCCCAGCATCCAGCATCCAGCATCCAGCATCCAGCAGGCCAGGGACAGTGAGCCACACTAAATCCCCCATGCCACCGTCCTCTCTTTCCCTCTCTTCGCATTTTTTTTTCACCTTGAAGACCATTTTCCCTCCTTTCCACGTCACTTATTTTCCAAGCCTGTCCAAGCCTGTGCCTGTTTCCCCTCCCTCAGGCCACGGGTCGGCCTCGGTCAGAGATCGATGTGCCTTCCCACGAGGCCGAACACACCTCCCTGTTTTGAGGCGCCTCAAAACTAGACTGCGCCTGTCTTGTCTCCCCTCCCTCAGGCCACGGGGCGGCCTCGGTCAGAGATCACCGTGCCTTCGCACGAGGCCAAACACACCTCCCCGCCTGCTGCTGCTGATGCTGCTGCTGCTGCTGCTGCCACTGCCTCGTCACCGCCACCATTCGACTTCCACTGTTTCTTCCTGGACGCCCCTCGCTTGCCGCTGTACCGCCGAATAGATAGACGCTGCGAAGAGATGGTGCAAGGTGAGGCGACCAATGGTGCTTGCTTGCTATTGCTAGGTGGAAGGACTTCGGCCTTTGAGATTCTACCGAACAAATGCTTGTACTTTGTGATTCCAGTCCGCTGCACCCTCCTCGCACCATCGCCCTCACCTGCACCACATGAGTCCACGCGCCTTTCACCAACCCACGGCGCCCCCTCGCCCTCATGCATCCATCTCTTGCCTTCCTCTCCTCTGCATGCCCCATCGTCCCGTGCGCTCTCTCCGTGCGGCCGGCGGGCAGGAGGGCTGCTGGAGGAGAGTCTGGCGCTGCTGCGAGTGGGGCTGCACCCTGACTCCTCGTCGCCCACACACGCCATCTTCCCGTGCTCTCTCTCGTGCTCGCTCCTCCCATGCGTCTGCCCGGCAGGAGGGCTGCTGGAGGAGAGTCTGGCGCTGCTGCGAGTGGGGCTGCACCCTGACTCCTCGTCGCCCACACACGCCATCTTCCCGTGCTCTCTCTCGTGCTCTCTCCTCCCATGCGTCTGCCCGGCAGGAGGGCTGCTGGAGGAGAGTCTGGCGCTGCTGCGAGTGGGGCTGCACCCTGACTCCTCGTCGCCCACACACACTATCTTCCCGTGCTCTCTCTCGTGCTCTCTCCTCCCATGCGTCTGCCCGGCAGGAGGGCTGCTGGAGGAGAGTCTGGCGCTGCTGCGAGTGGGGCTGCACCCTGACTCCTCCTCGCCCACACACGCCATCTTCCCGTGCTCTCTCTCGTGCTCGCTCCTCCCATGCGTCTGCCCGGCAGGAGGGCTGCTGGAGGAGAGTCTGGCGCTGCTGCGAGTGGGGCTGCACCCTGACTCCTCGTCGCCCACACACACTATCTTCCCGTGCTCCCTCTCGTGCTCTCTCCTCCCATGCGTCTGCCCGGCAGGAGGGCTGCTGGAGGAGAGTCTGGCGCTGCTGCGAGTGGGGCTGCACCCTGACTCCTCGTCGCCCACACACGCCATCTTCCCGTGCTCTCTCTCATGCTCGCTCCTCCCATGCGTCTGCCCGGCAGGAGGGCTGCTGGAGGAGAGTCTGGCGCTGCTGCGAGTGGGGCTGCACCCTGACTCCTCGTCGCCCACACACGCCATCTTCCCGTGCTCTCTCTCGTGCTCTCTCCTCCCATGCGTCTGCTCGGCAGGAGGGCTGCTGGAGGAGAGTCTGGCGCTGCTGCGAGTGGGGCTGCACCCTGACTCCTCGTCGCCCACACACGCCATCTTCCCGTGCTCTCTCTCGTGCTCGCTCCTCCCATGCGTCTGCCCGGCAGGAGGGCTGCTGGAGGAGAGTCTGGCGCTGCTGCGAGTGGGGCTGCACCCTGACTCCTCGTCGCCCACACACACCATCTTCCCGTGCTCTCTCTCGTGCTCGCTCCTCCCATGCGTCTTCCCGGCAGGAGGGCTGCTGGAGGAGAGTCTGGCGCTGCTGCGAGTGGGGCTGCACCCTGACTCCTCGTCGCCCACACACACCATCTTCCCGTGCTCTCTCTCGTGCTCTCTCCTCCCATGCGTCTGCCCGGCAGGAGGGCTGCTGGAGGAGAGTCTGGCGCTGCTGCGAGTGGGGCTGCACCCTGACTCCTCGTCGCCCACACACACCATCTTCCCGTGCTCTCTCTCGTGCTCTCTCCTCCCATGCGTCTGCCCGGCAGGAGGGCTGCTGGAGGAGAGTCTGGCGCTGCTGCGGGCGGGCCTGCAGCCGGACTCCTCCTCGCCCACACGCGCCATCGGCTACCGCCAGGCCATGTGCTTCCTGCTGCACTGCCAGCGCCTCATGGGGCAAGCGAGGACCAGTGAGGAGCGAGGGCTGCAAGAGCAGCAGGTGGAAGAGCAGCGACGGGCACTGCAGGAGGCATTGCAGGAGGAGCTGCAGGCGGCGCTGGTGGCGTTCATCTTGGAGTTCCAGCAGGCGTCACGGCGCTACGCCAAGCGGCAGATCACGTGGTTCCGCTCCCAACCACTCTTCCAATGGCTGCCCGCCCACACCCCCCTGGTGAGAGGTGTTGGCCCCCTGGTGAGAGGTGTTGGCCCCCTGGTGAGAGGAATGCCCCCCTGGTGAGAGGAATCAACCCTCCTGGTGAGGCAGTCTCAAACAATAGGGGTGCGAGAAGCAACCATGTGTTGATGTGTGTGAAACGGCTTGGTTATTGCTGCTGCGTGCTTCTGACCTCGCCCATGTGAGCTGCTGTACTCGTGTGCAGTTGATCAGTCGATTCCACGGCTCCATGTTCCCCCTCCCCTCCCCCCTGCCCTCCATGTTCCCCCTCCCCTCCCCCCTGCCCTCCATGTTCCCCCTCCCCTCCCCCCTGCCCTCCATGTTCCCCCTCCCCTCCCCTCTGCCCTCCATGTTCCCCCTCCCGTTCCCTCTGCCCTCCATGTTCCCCCTCCCCTCCCCTCTGCCCTCCATGTTCCCCCTCCCCTCCCCTCTGCCCTCCATGTTCCCCCTCCCCTCCCCTCTGCCCTCCATGCTCCCCCTCCCCTCCCCTCTGCCCTCCATGTTCCCCCTCCCCTCCCCTCTGCCCTCCATGCTCCCCCTCCCCTCCCCTCTGCCCTCCATGTTCCCCCTCCCCTCCCCTCTGCCCTCCATGTTCCCCCTCCCCTCCCCTCTGCCCTCCATGTTCCCCCTCCCCTCCCCTCTGCCCTCCATGTTCCCCCTCCCCTCCCCTCTGCCCTCCATGTTCCCCCTCCCCTCCCCTCTGCCCTCCATGTTCCCCCTCCCCTCCCCTCTGCCCTCCATGTTCCCCCTCCCCTCCCCTCTGCCCTCCATGTTCCCCCTCCCCTCCCCTCTGCCCTCCATGTTCCCCCTCCCCTCCCCCCTGCCCTCCATGCTCCCCCTCCCCCCTGGCCCTCCCCCTCCCCCCTGCCCTCCATGCTCCCCCTCCCCCCTGCCCGCCCCAGGACGAGCTGGTGGGGATGGTGCTGCGGGACTTTGATGGGTCCACGGGCGGGGAGGGGCACGCAGGTGGGGAGGTGCGGGCTGGTGGGGAGGGGCAGGGGGATGAGGAGGAGCAGGAGGGTGGGGAGGGGAGATTTGGGGCAGAGAGGGAAGGGGGGCAGGGTGGTGTTGGAGGAGGCGGGGGGGGCAGTGGGCACGCGTGGGAGAAGGCGGGGAGGCGAGAGCAGCGCAGGGAGAGCAAGGAGGAGGAGCGGGCGCTGAAGGGGTATCGGGCACAGCTGGAGTACGACCCACGACTCACTCTCACCCCACCCTCGCATGCTCTCTGCATCTTCCACCCTCTCTCGTGCTCGTGCCTGCTCTGCACTGTCCTCACCTGCTCTCTTCAGTTTTCGCCCGCTCTCCTCTTTCCTTCCTTGCTCTCCTCTTTCCTTCCTCGCTCTCCTCTTTCCTTCCTTGCTCTCCTCTTTCCTTCCTCGCTCTCCTCTTTCCTTCCTCGCTCTCCTCTTTCCTTCCTCGCTCTCCTCTTTCCTTCCTTGCTCTCCTCTTTCCTTCCTTGCTCTCCTCTTTCCTTCCTCGCTCTCCTCTTTCCTTCCTTGCTCTCCTCTTTCCTTCCTCGCTCTCCTCTTTCCTTCCTCGCTCTCCTTTGTCACCAGTGCATGGATGGATGGTGCATCACGCCAAGCAGGCTGTGTCAGGCCAGCCCTTACCGTGCTGCCCTGCCCCCCTGATGTGTGTCCCACAGGATTTTCTGCGACCAGCATGCCGTCTATGCCATGCTGACTTCTAAGTCAACTCAGAAGCCACCTCACCGTGCTGCCCTGCGTTCCCCCCCCTCCCCCCCGCGCCCGATGTGGGTTCCGCAGGATTTACTGCGACCAGAATGCCATTGATGCCACGCTGGCGTGGATTCAAGCCAACGTCACGCCGCGCCAACAGGGCTCACAGAGCGAGCAAGGCAACACTGGTGCTGCAGGTGTGCCCTTTGCAGAGACACGACTGGACGGGAAGCCGCAGCACAGCCTGCTGTGACCACTTGAGAGAACCTATTCAGGGTGTGTTCCTGTTATCAGGCAACCCTCTTCTAGTCAGGCTTAATGCTCCTTTCAGGTTACAAGACTCCTTTTTTTAGACTCTAGCAAAAAAGCGGTGCGTGATGAACTAGTGCTGACTTCGGGTTTTAAAATCAGCCCTGGTTTCAAAGCACTCTAATGAAATCTGAAACCAACTTTGTGTTGAGAGGTTGCTTCACAATATAATCTGCACATGTTACAGGTTTCGCTTCGTGAAGGGTCTCTCGCGGCTTTGTAAGGCCACAAATCCGTGCAGTGAAGACTTTCGCAGCCACTCAGTGGCTCCCACGTGCTCTGCACGACGCCATTTCCCAGGGGGGGCCTTGGGATTGGGGGGAAGGTCAGTTGGTCGCCCCCGCCACACCCTCGAGCACATTCTCGCTGCAAGCCGGCTTGGCAACACCAGAGAACGGTACAGTCCTGTACAGCCGTGTGGCAGCGCACCACCAGAGTGAGGGCGACGTGTGCGGGGCACTGTTTTCGGCGGGAAGAATCTGCGCCCAAGGACACCACCAAGGCGCCCGCGGCATTTTCTAGGGCGCTCCGCTTTCAGTCAAATCGTTCAGCTCATGTGTGCGCCATCCGCCAGTTATGCGCTACAGACGTGGTTCTGATTATCTTTAACATGGTCTAGAAGGTTACAGAGTGGTGACTTCTTCTGTCTCCTCCTGGCAAAGCCCGCTGCGAAAAGTCGACGCACAATTCAGCTACCGGATGCAACCTTGGTAGAGCAATAAATCGTTTTAAAAGCAACCAAAACACTGAGCACCGCGTTTCTGGTTCAGAATCCAGGTTCATGATGGTCGCCATAGAATGCCCGATTCGGAACAATACCCCCTCCCCCCTCTCCTCCTCCCACACCTTTCCCCTCCCCCCCCTCCCCTCCCGTCACATGTGCGCACATTCTCCGCCCTCCACCACATGTGTTCATACGGGCCACTCACTGCGCCATCTCCCTGCGCAGCACCTCTGGACCCCAATGCCACCCCCCCTCCCCCCCCCCCCCCCCCCCCCCCCCCCCTTCCCCACGTTTCAGTGCAACCAGAGCGCCATGCAATGCAAGTGCATCAGCCAACGTGTCGGGTAGAGCACGCATAGATGATGCACTGCCCAACCAACCCGCCACACTGTGCTGCCGTCGAACCAGTTGTTTGAGAGCCTCGATGCAGCCGCAATTAGTCCTGGAATAATAGGAATAAGTCAATGGATGCGGCTGTCACGCGAGTCTGTGTGAGGCTCTGGTCACTTAGTGTTGATCTTCACGCGGCCCGCAGTGCAATGAGCGCAAGGAAATGCTTTTAAAGTGGTAAACCAGTTAGCCAACGGCGGCTGCTTGGGTTAGGTCAGAGGCGAAGGGACTAGCCCACATAGGAATAAAGTCGCACCGCGTCCGTTGCTAGCGAGAATATCTTTATTGTTCATTATTCTTCTTAAACGAAGGTAACGACCAGTCATCATGTCGTCGACGTCTAAATCCAAGTCGCGCGTGCGCCTCTCGCGGCTCCTCTCATACGCGGGGTGCATCCGGCCACGTGCAGACGAGAGCGAGCTGGTCGGAGAGAAGGGCTTTCAGCGCCACGTGTACTGCAACGAGCCGCATCGCCATGTGGAGAAAGGCAGTCCGCTTCGTTATTGTAACAACTCAATATCCACCACTAAATACTCGATACTGTCCTTCCTCCCCAAGGCGCTATTCGAGCAGTTCCGCCGCGTCGCCAATCTCTACTTCCTGCTCTGCGCCATCCTCGCGCTCACGCCGCTTACGCCGTACGCGCCGTACAGTCTGATCGCGCCGCTCGTGCTGGTGGTGGGCGTCAGTATGATCAAAGAGGCCATCGAAGACTGGCGTCGATACCTCGCTGTAAGTCCTTCCTTGCCAAAGGTTCTTGTCACGGCCATCGAAGAATGTAACGGGTGCCTCTCAGGGAGATCACTAGTATTTGGAGCCTCAAGGCGCTACTAGGAGCGGGCGTTTATAAGAGCGGCTGGAACCGAATTGAAGGAAAATCTGGTGTTAACGGTCGTCGCATTTCGGTCCTTTCCCCCACCCCGTTCCTAACGCCTTCAACCCTCGTCCTCCATCTTCCACCCCCCGTTCTTCTCTTCCCGTCCCTTTTCTTCTCCCCCGTCTTCCCTACACTTTCTTCCCGCTCCCTCCTTTCCCACCTCCCCCTTCCCCCTCACCCCTAACACACCCCTTCCGTTCCCCGCTTCCCCGCCCCCCGCACTCGTCCGCCAGGACGACGAGGTGAACAAGCGCAAGGTGCTGCGCCACGTGGGCGAGGGGCGGCTTCTGAGGACCCTCATGAGTCCCTTTCCCCCTTCCCCTTCCCCTTTCCCTTCCCCGTCCGCCAGGACGACGAGGTGAACAAGCGCAAGGTGCTGCGGCACGTGGGCGAGGGGCGGTTCGAGCCGTGCGAGTGGAAGGCGGTGCGCGTGGGCGACGTAGTTAAAGTGCTCAAGGACGAGTTCTTCCCGGCCGACCTCCTAATGCTCGCCTCCAGCTACCCGGACGGCGTGTGCTACGTCGAAACAATGAACCTGGACGGCGAGACGAATCTTAAGCTGCGCAAGGCGCTCGAGCGCACACTGCCGCTCGAGGACCCCGAGGCGCTCGCGAAATTCACGGCGGAGATTAAGTGTGAGGACCCGAACCCGAGTTTGTACACGTTCGTGGGGAATTTGGAGTGGGAGGGCGAGGCGACGGCGCTGACCGCGGCGCAGGTGCTGCTGCGCGACTCGAAGCTGCGCAACACGGCGTGGGTGGTGGGGGTGGTTATCTTTACCGGCCACGACAGCAAGGTCATGATGAACGCAACCGCCGCGCCGTCGAAGCGCAGCTCGATCGAACGGCGCATGGATAAGATCATCTATTTCCTCTTCGCGTGTCTGCTGCTCATGGCGATCGTGGGGAGTATCGTCTTCGGCTTGCGCACGAAGGATCAAATGCCGTCGTGGTGGTACCTCGGTCCGAACGACACTGACGCGTATTACGACCCCGCGAAACCCGCCGCGTCGTCCGTGCTGCAGTGCCTGACGGCGATTATCCTGTACGGTTACCTCATCCCTATTTCGCTATACGTGTCGATCGAGATCGTGAAGATCTTCCAAGCGTGGTTCATTAGCGCCGATCGCGGGATGTATTTCGCGGAAACGGACATGCCGGCACGCGCGCGCACGAGCAATTTGAACGAGGAGCTAGGGCAGGTGGATACGGTGCTAAGCGACAAAACCGGCACGCTGACGTGTAACCAGATGGATTTTCTCAAGTGCTCTATCGCCGGCCTCGCGTACGGCCGCGGCATTACCGAGGTCGAGCGCGCCACGGCGCGGCGGCTCGGCCGCGATCTGAGCGAGCTGGAGGATTACGACGAGGAGGAGGAGCGCGCCGCGGCGGAGGCGGCGGTGAGCGGGACGGCGAAACCGGGGGTTAAGGGGTTCGCGCTTCGGGATAATAGACTCCTGGACGGCGCGTGGCTGCGCGAGTCGCACCGCGAGGAGATCCGCATGTTCCTGCGCGTGCTGGCCGTGTGCCACACCGTCATTCCCGAGGTGGACGAAGCTTCCGGGCAGGTGGAGTACGAGGCGGAGTCGCCTGACGAGGCGGCGTTCGTGGAGGCGGCGCGGCAGATGGGCGTGGCGTTCTTCAAGCGCACGCAGACGACCGTTTGGGTGCGCGAGCCGGATGAAACGGGGCAGAGCACCGTTGACAGGTGAGGGGGGAGAGGGGGTGGGCAGCGTTGACAGGTGAGGGGGTGTTGGGGAGCAGAGCAGCATGGAGAGGTGAAGGAAAAACCTACCCTTGACAGGTACACGGGGACGGAGCAGCGAGGAGATGTGAGGGGGAGACAGAGGTTCAAAGCAGCGTGGATGGGTAAGGGGAACTGTGAGGGCAGTGGGGGTGGTGGTAGAAGTGAGCGAGGCGAGAAAGAAAGTGAAGTGAGAAGCGAGCGAGGGCAGAGCGGCGAGGAGAGGTAAAGGAAGGCTGAGACTGGGAGGGATGTGGAGAGGTGGAGGGGTGAGCATGATTGAGAAAGGTGATCAGAGCAGAGTGGCACGGTGTGGTGAGGGAGACTGGGAAGGCACTGGAGGGGCGAGTTTGTGTGTCAGCAGCAGGTAGGGAAGGGCTGTGACCCTGCTGCTGCTCCCACAGCCCCCCCGCATTATGCACTGGCCACATGCCCTCTCTTCCGTCCCCACACGCGTGTCCCCCCCCACTGTCATGCCATCCCCACATGCGTGCCCCCACTGCCATCCTCACACGCGTGCCCCCACTGCCATCCCCACACGCGTGCCCCCACTGCCATCCCCACACGCGTGCCTCAAGTCACCCTCCATTGTCCCTCCCCCCTCACCATCCCTCCCCTCATCATCCAACAGAGGGAAGTCCACGATCCAGCGCTGTGTTAGTTCACATTGCACCCATTCGCACCCATTCGCACCCTTCGTCACCCCTCATCATCCCTCTTTACCACCCCCCAGGGAGTACACGATCCTGGCACTGATAGAGTTCAACTCCACACGCAAGCGCATGTCAGTGGTCGTGCGAGACCCTCCAACCGCATCCTCCTCTTGACCAAGGGCGCTGACTCTGTCATTTACGAGCGCCTAGCCCCCACTCACCCTGCATCGTCCCACTCCCCATCATCCCACCCCGCTGGCCCCTCAGGGAGTACACGATCCTGGCACTGATATAGTTCAACTCCACACGCAAGCGCATGTCGGTGGTCGTGCAAGACCCCTCCAACCGCATCCTCCTTATGACCAAGGGCGCTGACTCTGTCATTTACGAGCGCCTAGCCCCCACTCACCCTGCATCGTCCCACTCCCCATCATCCCACCCCGCTGGCCCCTCAGGGAGTACACGATCCTGGCACTGATAGAGTTCAACTCCACACGCAAGCGCATGTCGGTGGTCGTGCGAGACCCCTCCAACCGCATCCTCCTTATGACCAAGGGCGCTGACTCCGTCATCTATGAACGCCTAGCCCCCACCGGGCGGCAGCATTTGGAAGCTACCCGTGCCCACCTGCATCGGTATGGGGAGGCAGGGCTGCGGACGCTGGCGCTGGCGTATAGGGAGTTGAGTGAGGAGGAGTGCGGAGAGTGGCTGGAGCGGTATGAAGGGGCGAGGAGGAGTTTGAGTGCGGAGAGGGAGGCTCTGGTTGATGCTGCTGCGGAGGAGATTGAACAGGGGCTGACGCTGCTGGGGGCGACTGCTGTGGAGGATAAACTGCAGCAAGGGGTGAGTGACGGGAGGGGGGGAGGTGGGTAAGGTGGGGAATAGGGAGGAAGAGGGGTTTGGTGGGAAGGGAGAAGAAAATTTGACACAGAAGCCGGTCGGTAGCGGGAGTTTGAGTGCGGAGAGAGAGGCTCTGGTGGATGGTGCTGCAGAGGAGATTGAACAGGGTCTGACGCTGCTGGGGGCGACGGCTGTGGAGGATAAACTGCAGCAAGGGGTGAGTGAGAATGAGGGGGGAGAACAATAGAGGGGGGGGTATTTCGGGAAGGGAGTGGGAAGGGGTGGGAAGGGAGAAAGGGTGGTACATCCTCCCATATACCCCCACACCACCCCCTTCCCTTTCGCCCCCCGTTGCGTTCACCCCCCTTCCTGACCCTTCAGGTACCAGAGGCCATAGACCGGCTAGCGCAGGCGGGCATCAAGATCTGGGTGCTCACAGGAGACAAGCTCGAGACGGCCATCAACATTGGGTGAGATGACACGCATTACAGGGGGGTGACATGAGTAGCTAGCTAGCAGGGACATGGAAACGAGTGCCAGGGAGTTGAAGGGTGCGGAAGGGAGATAGACAGGCTGGCACAAGCGGGCGTCAAGATGCGGGGGTGCTCACAGGAGACAAGCTGGAAACAGCCACTAATTAACATCGGGTGAGATGACACGCGCCATATGGAGGTGAAACAGGAGTCAAAGAGTTGAAATTGGCTATTGGTAGGGCGTGATGCTGTTGTTGAAGCAATCCCACTCTGCACTGCTTGCTTGCCCACCTGCGTGCCACAGTGACCACAGTGCCACATTGACCTCACTCTTTTGTCCTCCCTCCACCGCGCTCCTCTTCCCGCCCCCATCCCGCCCCCCCCTTCTCCTGTCCCCCCCTTACATCAGTTTCGCATGCTCGTTGCTGCGCGACGACATGAAGCAGATCGTCGTGTCGCTCGACTTGCCTGACATTCCCTTCCCTGCCTTACCTCCCCACTTCCCACTTCCGACTCCTCTGTGCCTCTTTTCAATTCAATCAGCTTCGCGTGCTCGTTGCTGCGCGACGACATGAAGCAGATTGTCGTGTCCCTTGACTCGCCTGACATTCGCAAGCTGGAGGACACCGGGGACAAGGAGAAGCTCGCTGCTGTGAGTAGTGAGGGGTGCTGTGTGGTACTGTGTGGTGCTGTGTGGTCCTGTGTGGTCCTGTGTGGTGCTGTGTGGTGCTGTGTTGATCATACACTCGCAAGCTGGAGGACACCGGCGACAAGGAGAAGCTCGCTGCTGTGACTATAGGTTGTAGCAAGGGGTGCCTTTCTATGCTGTGCGCCGTGCGGCGCTGTGGTTGCGCACTTGCAAGAAGCGTGGGTTTTTTTGTTGGGTGGAATGGTCAGTGTAGTGCCAGCTTTGATGCAATAAGGACCTGCCTGGTATGATGAAGATCCTTCGTGTTTCCATTTCCACGCTGTCCCCTCCCCTCCGTGCTTCACTCATGGGTGCAGCACGATAAGCGGCGGTGCTGCACTAGGTGCTTCGCTAAAACATCCCATAGACATGCCTCACCTTCCCTTCCGCCTTCCGTTTTCTTCCCCTCTTTCCGATCCACCCTCTCCTTCCCCCTCCCGTGTCTCCTGCCCGCCCTTGCCCCGTCCTTCCTCTCCTATCCACCCTCGCGCTTCCACCCCCCTCGCCCCGCGCAGGTGTGCAGGGACAGGTAGGTTGAAGCGCCTGCTGCACGACGGCGCTGCTCTCATCAACCCCCACCTCTAGCCATGCCTCGCCTTTCCTTCCCCCTTTCCCCCTTCCACAATGGCACCCTCCCCCTCCCCCCCCCCCCCCAGGTGTGCAGGGACAGGGTGAAGCGCCTACTGCACGACGGCGCTGCACTCATCGACCGTGCCCGAGAGGGGGGCGCTCCTGCTACCGGGGCCGATGCCAATGGTGGGGACGCAGCAGGCAATGGCAATGGCGACGGGGGAGAGGGGGACGGGGAGGGGGACGAGGAGGGGGATGAAGGGCCGGCGCGGGTGTTTGCGCTGGTGATAGACGGCAAGTCGCTGGCATTCGCGTTGGAGCCAGAGTTGAGAGCGGCGCTGCTGGCGCTCGCCATGCAGTGCGCCTCTGTGGTGTGCTGCCGCGTGTCTCCCAAACAGAAAGCCCTGGTAAGAGAAAGGTGTGGAATTTGAGAATTCTCGAAAAAGGGGTGGAATGAGGAAGGGGTGGCATGGGGGGGTTGGATGGGGAACGGGGGGCATGCAAGGGGAGCAGGGGTCAGCGAGGGTGTTTGCGCTGCTGATAGACGGCAAGTCGCTGGCATTCGCATTGGACCCAGAACTGAGGGCGGCGCTGCTAGCGCTCGCCATGCAGTGTGCCTCTGTTGTATGCTGCCGTGTCTCCCCCAAGCAGAAGGCTCTGATGAGGAAAAGTCGGGAAAGGGGGGCCATCGGGGAAAGGGGGGGCATGGGGAAGGGGGGTCGTGGAAAAAGGGGAGCAGGGGTCAGCAGCGCGGGTGTTTGCGCTGGTGATAGACGGCAAGTCGCTGGCGTTCGTGTTGGACCCGGAATTTACGGCGGCGCTGCTGGCCCTGGCCATGCAGTGTGCCTCTGTGGTGTGCTGCCGCGTGTGGCCCAAGCAGAAGGCGCTGGTGAGCATGGAGGCGCTGGTGAGCATGGAGGGGGATTGGGTGATGGGGGAAAGCACAGTGGGGGAGGGTGGGGGGCAGAGGCATTCGTGCAGGTTGTGCCGTGCCAGGGTTGTGGTCATGCAGTGCGCGTCTGTCATGTGCTGCCGCGTGTCGCCCAAGCAGAGGGCGCTGGTGAGCACTCGGGGGAGGAGGATGGGGGGACACTGGCGGTGAGCATGGAGGGGGATTGGGTGATGGGGGAGGGTGGGCGGGCAGGGGCATGGTGCAGGTTGCGCCATGCAGTGTGCCTCTGTGGTGTTGCCGCTTGTTCCCCAAGCAGAGGGCGCTGGTGAGCAGGGGGGAAGGGGGGGGGGGGAGGAGAGTTGGGTGGGAGAGGGTGGGTGAGATGGGGGAGATGCTGGCGCTCGCCATGCAGTGTGCCTGTGTGGTGTGCTGCCGTGTGTCCCCCAAACAGAAGGTGCTGGTGAGCATGAGGTTGTGGCCCACAACTTGTGGGCGCCGGGGTGAGATGGGGGAGATTGGGGAGGTCGCCATGCAGTGTGCCTCCGTGGTGTGCTGCTGTGTGTCCCCCAAGCAGAGGGCGCTGGTGAGCATGGAGAGGGGCAGGAAGTCGGGGAAGCACAGGTGGAGAGGGTGGGGTGGGAGGCAGAGGCGTTTGTGAAGGCTGTGCTGTGCACGAGTTACGGTCACGCAGTGCGCGTCTGTGGTGTGTTTCTGTGTGTCCCCCAAGCAAAGGCGCTGGTTAAGAGAGGGTAGATGAGTGGGGGAGGGTTGAGGGAGTGATGGGAAAGGGGAGGAGAGGAGGAGGGGGGGGGAGGGGGTGGTGGGCTGCAGGAAGAAAAGATGGTGCTGCTTTTCATGCCGGGGATGTCCCCTCCCCACTGCAGCTAACCAATCACTCACGCCCCGCTCGTTGCATGCCACGCTATCTCTTGAGTCGACTCAAAAGTCACCTCCTTGCATGCCACGCTATCTCTTGAGTCGACTCAAAAGTCACCTCCTTGCATGCCACGCTATCTCTTGAGTCGACTCAAAAGTCACCTCCTTGCATGCCACGCTATCTCTTGAGTCGACTCAAAAGTCACCTCCTTGCATGCCACGCTATCTCTTGAGTCGACTCAAAAGTCACCTCCTTGCATGCCACGCTATCGCTTGAGTCGACTCAAAAGTCACCTCCTTGCATGCCACGCACGCTATCTCATGTCATGTCATCCCATGTCTCGTGGTTCTATGCAGGTGACGCGGCTGGTGAAGAACGGCACGGGGCGCACGACACTGGGCATTGGGGACGTGGATGGTCATTTCCTGCGACTAACCACTTCCTCTCTCCCTTCTCCTGCCATCCCATGCCATATGATGCCATGCCATGTCACGCCGTGGGCGTTCAGGTGACGCGGCTGGTGAAGGACGGCACGGGGCGCACGACGCTGGGCATTGGCGACGGGGCGAACGATGTGGGCATGATTCACGAGGCTGACATTGGTGTTGGGATCAGTGGCGTGGAGGGGCAACAGGTGAGAGGAGGAGCAGGTGAGAGGAGAAGCAAATGAGTGATCAGCGATGTGAGAGGGGCAGCAGCTGAGAGGGGAAAGGGGTTGGACGGTGTGAGGTGAAGTGAGGAGGAGAGATTACGGGGATGGAGTGTGGGAGCGATTAGACAGATGTGCTATTCACGGCAGTGTGTTTGTTGTGCCATCCATAGTTCCGCACCCTTCTACCACCATTTCCCGTTCCGGTTCCACCCACCCCTCTTCTGCTCCCATCCCTCTTCTCCTCCTCCCAACCAATCACTCACCCACTAGTCGCCCTCCTCACTCCGCCCGCGCTTGTTCGCCTCTCCCCCTCACAGGCGGTGATGGCGAGTGACTTTGCCATAGCGCAGTTCAAGTACCTGGAGCGGCTGCTGCTCGTGCACGGCCACTGGAGCTACAAGCGCATCGCCAACGCGGTCAGTGCCGTGCCGTGCCGTGCCGTGTTCTGCTCTGCCACGCCCCACTCCCCTTCATTCCCGCCCTTTCTCTCTTCCCCATGAGTTCTCTTGCCTTTTTCTTTCTCAATCCGTTGCTTTCATACCCTCCGTCTCATGCATGATGTGTTCCTTCTGTGGTCAACCATTCGAGGAGCAGCTTTGAAGCGCGACCTTGTTTTCCGCACTCCCTGCTCCGTAGTGCACTCGGTTGATTCAGCTCTCGTCCCAACCTTTCCCCCATCTCTCCATCTCCCTCCCCATTTTCCTCATCTCTGCTTGTTCCCCTGTCTACCCGGTCTCTCCATCTCTCCTTTTCCTCATTTCCCGTGCCCCTCACCTCTCTGCAGGTGACCTATTTCTTTTACAAGAACGTGGCGTTCGGCCTCACCATCTTCTACTACAACGCGTATGCGGTGTTTTCCGGGCAGATCGTGTACAATAGCTGGGCCTGCTCGCTCTACAACGTCTTTTTCACCTCGCTGCCCGTCATCGGCTATGGGGTTCTGGAGCAAGATCTATCCGACAAGCAATTGCTTATGGTGAGTAGAGGACATGTGGGGTTGTGTGGGGCTGTGTGGTGCGTTGGAGCATCGTGTACAACAGCTGGGCGTGCTCGCTCTACAACGTCTTCTTCACCTCGCTGCCCGTCATCGGCTATGGCCAAGGTTCAAAATTACGACCGAATTATTGAAATTCTGTCGTATAATACGGAATCGTATGATACGACCGTAAAAAACGGTTTAAAACGGTGTATTTTTTAATTCTTTGTTTGGTTCAAAAATACGACCGTATAATTCGACCGTATTTTTGAAACGAAATCAGTGTATATCGGATCACTGAATTTCATGCGCCAGTTTCGCCGAAACTCAAATTTCTCTGACATCCGTACACTGGAATGTGTTTTATTCCCGAGTCGCGAAGCGCATCGCGTACTGGTACCCGTTGCACGACATTTCAACATTTGGCGAAATCTGAAATTTCGCTCCCTCGTTTCGTTTTTTCCGTTAACATTTTCGCGCAGCGGATGTTTTTGTCGCTCGCATGCGCGACACGTACAAAACCCGCGATGCGAAACCAATCCAACCAATCAGAATACCTCCCGTGCACTCAACCCTTCCACAACACCACTCGACACAACACCCCCAGTTTCCTCTACTTGGTACTTAGGAGATTGGTCTAGTCACTCCTGCACATATTCAAAACAGAGCTCTAGTCTAGTCTTTAGTGTGGCAGGACATAAGCCATGGCGAGGCAGAAATCGCCACTGTGGAAGCACGTCACGACGGCTAAGGGACCAGGCGGCACTCTAACTGCGAAGTGCGTGCACTGCAACAAATCCGTGACTGCTAACGCAACACGCATAGGGGAGCACATTTATGGGACGCCGGAGGACAAGGAGAAGAATGTGACGCCGTGCAACCACGAAGTCGCCATCAAACTTCGAGCGGAAGCAGCAGCAGCTAATGAGCGTGACGGAAGCGCCACTCTGTCAACCCTTGGCTCCACTTCAACCCTAGACGTCGAACCCACTCGGCGCGCACGGCAGCGGGACATCCGCGACATGGTGGATGACACTGCACGCGCTCGACTGGACCATTTATGGGCTGCTGCAGTGGCTGATAACGACTGGGCGTTCCACACGTCCAGGTCTCCAGCCGTGCAGAACTTCGTGGATGCGGCTGTTGCCTTCGGGAAACAGTACACCCTCCCATCCCCCTTCAGGGTTTCGGGTGTGCTGCTTCAAAAACTGGTAGCGGATACCGCGAACATTGTACGGCCCCTGAAGGAGAGTTGGAAGACTACTGGCTGCACCCTCTCCGTGGATGGCTGGACCTGCATGAAGAGTCGTGGGCTCGTGTGTGTCATGGCCCACAATGACACGGCGCCTGTCATCGTGAAGACCGTGGACTCCAAGACCGCGAAGAAGACGGGGGAATACTTGGCCGGTCTCATCCAGCGCGCGATCTGTGATGTTGGAGACTCGAACGTGGTCCAGGTGGTCATGGACAACGCCTCCAACAACCGGAGGGCGGCTGACATTCTCCGTGACGGTTTTCCAGCAATTTTCTTCAACAACTGTGCGGCGCACGTCCTGGATCTGATGCTCCACGACATCGGGAAGGTCCGTGCTGTGCGGCGGGTGCTCAACCAGGTGCACAGGGTGGTTATGATCGTCAAGGGAAGCGCGTCTGCCGTCGTGCTCTTCGAGGAGTTGTTTAGCACATTGTCCTTGGTGCGGCCCGGTGCAACACGCTTCGGCACGCAGGTTATCATGCTTACCCGCTTCCTGGAAGTGAAGAAAGCGCTCAAGGAGATGGTGATTAGTGAGGAGTGGGAGTCGGTGGCGGTGGCACGGTCTGAGGAGGGGCGAGCTGTCCGCCTGCTCCTCTTGGATGAGGTCTTTTGGGACTGCGCGACAGCGGTCCTCCGCCTCATGACACCCGTGTACGAAGTGCTGCGGGTGGTTGACACCCGTGCTCTAGTCATGGGCCAGATCTATGGCCTCATGCTAGATGCCACGGTGAAGACAAACATTGCGGCAGAGGCGGCAGGTAAGCTGTGAATTGCTGCACGTTCACGGCTACTATATACCCTTCCCGCACATTGTGCTCACCTCGTGCTCTCCCGTTCTCCCCATGGGCAGCCAAAATGATGCTGAAACGCACAGCTCTCTTGCCGGCCAAAGACAAGCCGGCCTTTCTTGCCGCCATCAAGGCTATTATAGCCAGGAGGTGGGACGTCCAGCTCCACAATCCACTCCATGCTATGGGGTGGCTTCTAAACCCGCGCAATCAGTACGGCAGAGAGGTGAAGAACGATCCCGAGGTAAGGCGTGGGGCGGAAGCCGTGATCCAGGCACGTGGGGGGGATGTCGCTCAACGCACGCTGCTGTTGGCGCAGTTGACGCGGTTTCATTTGGGAGAGGGGCTGATAGGGTCCGATGATGCCCGTTGGGCAGCGCAGGTGCTGGTGGCGAGTGGGCGCTTGACGGAGGCAGAGTGGTGGCTGATGTATGGGGGGGAATTGCAAGCGCTCATGGGGATGGCTGTGACGGTGCTGTCACAGCCAGTCACGTCTTCTGAGGTCGAACGCTACTAGTCCGCCATTGCACGGGTGCAGAGGCGGGACCGTAACCGCCTCAGCGCCAAAAAGATGATGGACGTGACTAAGGTGGCGTTCGCCAGGAGGGCCAGGGATGCTTTCGATAGGAAATCACGGGAGAGGGAGAAGCTTTATGCCGATCTGGCCAACGGCACCCTCAAGCAAGGGAGTGCCGTTGAACCGGCAGCAGCGGAAGAAGAGGAAGTGGGGGACGACGACGAGGAGGAGGGAGAGGGGAATGAGCAGCTATGCACCATTGATTGGGACCTATTCGGGAACATTGGGAAGCGGAAGAAGAAGGTGCCTAAGGCCGCTAAGAGGCAGAGGGGCGGGAAGGCCAAGAAGCCTACCAGGGGAAAGAGAAAGGCAACATCTGTGGGAGGGGAAGAGGGTGAGGAGGAGGAGGCGGCGGATAGCAGTGGAGGGGAGGAGGAGGAGGACGTGCCCACCAAGGCTCGAAATGGCTCGGATCCTTGGGACATTAGTGACGGGTCTAGTGGGGAGGAAGAGGAGTCGGATGAAGATGAGGAGGAGGATGAGGAGGAGGAAGAGTAAAGAAGAGAGGAGGTTACAGGTAGGAGGATGAGAGAGAGATAGGGAAGGATAGGATAGGGTAGGAGAAATGAGTAGTAGTGGACGGTTAGGTAGTAGTGGGAATGGTAGAGTTGTGTTGTAACACTCTGTGCTGTTGTTATGCTAGGCTAGTGTAGTGTGTACCTTTGAGAACCTTGCTAGGAGAAAGGATTAAAAAGAAAAAAAAAAACACAAAAAAAAAAAAAAAAAAAAATCTGGAAACCAGTCTATCAAAAATACGGCGTATTTTTGGTTTTTGGGCCGTATAAAACGACCGTATTATACGGACCGTATAATACGATAACCGTCATTTTGATCGCTGGCTATGGCGTGCTGGAGCAGGATCTCTCCGATAAACAGCTGCTCATGGTGAGTGTGGGCTGTGTGGGAAGCTATGCTCTATACCCATGCCCACTACCCGGCATCGGCTACAGGGTGCAGGAGCAGGACCTCTCCGATAAGCAATTGCTTATGGTGAGTGCGGGCTTTGTGGGAAAAGGTGCTTGGGGAACAGAAGAGGACATGTGGACTGCTCACACCCCCCATGCCCGCTACCCATCATCATCGGCTACGGCGTGCGTGCTGAAGCAGGACTCTCCGACAAGCAATTGCTTATGGTGAGTATGGGTCTGTGAGGTTGTGTGTGGCGAGGTGCTGCTTATGGTGTGAGTCGCCACAAGAGTCACACTAACATCTTCTGGACATGTCTCGCAGCCGTGCTGCTTGTCACACTCACACCCACATGTTCCCCCGCTTCCCCCGTATGCCCCCTCCCCTCTATGCCCCTGCCAGTTCCCAGCGCTGTACCAGCAGGGTCCCAAGAATGTGTTCTTCCACTGGACCACCATTGCCATGTGGATCTTCTATGGTTTCGCCCAGTCCGTGCTGCTCTTCTGGTCCTGCCTCGCTGCCGTGCTGCCCCAGGCGTCTCTCCCCTCGGGCAAGCTCCCCGAGATGAACGGGCTCAGCGCCACACTCATGACGGGCGTGGTCGTGGCAGTGAATTTCCAGATTGCGCTTATAACGGAGCACTGGACCTGGATCACTCACCTCTTCATCTGGGGTAGCATCGCGGTCTGGTACCTCTTTCTCGGGGTGTACTCGTACTTCGGCCCTGATTGGTCCACGGATTATTACTACATTTTCTCCGAGGTGCTTGCGCCGAGTGCGCTGTACTGGCTGACAGGGCTGCTGCTGCTACCAGTGATGGCGGTGCTGCCGTACTTTGTGTTCCGCGGTGTGGAGTCGCGGATAGCCCCCCCGGACCAGCAGATTGTGCAGGAGATAGTGCGGCTGAAGCAGGACGAGGAGGCGGCCAAGGCGGCTGTGGCGCCGCCGCTGGCGCCGGTTGGGTTCACAGCGGCTGTTGAGGCGGTGAGCAAGCGGCTGAGGAAGGTGGAGAGGAAACGGAGGAGACGAGGGGAGAAGTGAGAGAAGGAGTGGGGCAAGGAGGTGGTTGTTCGAATGGTGTGGCGCCGGTGGAGCTGTTGAGGCTGTGAGTAAGCGGCTGAAGAAGGTAGAGAAGAAGCGGCGGAGACGAGGGAAGAATTGAGGTGTGTGGTGGGGTGGTGAGGAAGGTGGTGTGGTGGAGTGGGGCAAGAAAATGGTTGGGAGATTGAGGTGTGGTGCGTGTTGCTCCGAGTGGGTACGTGGCATGACAGTGGCGTGGAGGCAGTGAGGTTGCGGAACAAGGGCAGAAAGGAAGTGGAAGAGTACGCTGCATGAGGGGGCAGGCAGACTCTGCTCTTCTGCAGGTTGCTGGTGTGTTGTGATGTGGTTGATTGTGTTGCGTTTCAGTTGTAGTGTGCTAGTGTACATGTATTAAGGCTGCATGCCAAATGGCTTTAGGGGAATGAAATACGTATGGTAATAAGTCAGTATTGACATTCATGGTTGTGGCCTCTTTCCGTTGATCACATGTAGTACAGCGTAGCGCTGATATCTGCCAAAACGTAGCTTACCTTACCTGTGCCAACCATCAGTGGGACGGTTGCGAACAGGGCCGCAAGTTATTTTATTAATGCAAGTGGTGTTGTTTTATTAGTGCACGTTGGCGAACGCTGCGAAGCTTGCGAACGGTGCTAAATTACGCGCTTGCGAACGGTGTGCTAGTGTACATGTATTAAGGTTGCATGCCAAATGGCTTTAGGGGAATGAAATACGTACGGTAATAAGTCAGTATTGACATTCATGGTTGTGGCCTCTTTCCGTTGATCACATGTAGTACAGCGTCAAGATTCTGCTGGAGTGTGAAAGACTTACCAATTTATTGAGTATACTCCAATTCGAATCAGTATAATGTTTTCCTGCTCCTACAGCACCCCTAATGATACTGGTCCACACCACCTTGTTTCACTGCGACTTGGGGGAATTTGGCAGGGTAAACTACAGTTGTGGCTACTGCAAACAGACGATCCAACTCCAGGTGAGCCAAGCGACAGTGCCCAAAACCCTCCTTTAGGCAGGCGAAAGGCTTGCATGCATGCATTATTATGCTTGTTTCCACCTTTTTGAGGCAACACAAAATCGTCACCATACACATGCCTTGAGAAGGCAGGCGAATGGCCTTGTAGGCCTGCAAGTTTTGGGTGATGTGGTTTTCCACAGCCAAGCGCTCCACATTCTTACTCAACACCAGAAACTAGCAGTACAGCAGCCTGATCGGCCTAAGCTGGCAGGTGAATGGTCAAGTATGCCTTCAAGTTCTCGGTGATGGCTGTTTCAACGGGCAGGCGCTCCATCCATGCTGGAGGCAGTGGCGTCTAAAAAATGATCTCCTTACACACGGCTTAGCAAGGCAGGCGAATGGCCTTGTATGCCTTGAGGTTCTCTGTGATGGCGATTTCAACAGGCAGGCGCTCCATGCTGGACGCACCGTAGAAGCCGTGCACTCCCCTGGTGTTCTGCAGGATGTACCGTGCCTCCTCTGGCCCGCTGATGGGACCTGGTGGAGGTTGGCACAAGCAAGAGAAGGAGGTGGAAAGGGATAAGGGACAGGCCTCCATGCTGGACGCACCGTAGAAGCCGTGTACCCCCTTGGTGTTCTGCAGGATGTACCGCGCCTCCTCTGGACCACTTATGGGACCTGGTGGTGTGCAGGGGTTGGCAGGAGCACAAGCAACGTTAAAAGGGTTTCTATGCAACGTTGCTTGCGCAAACAAGGCGGTGTGGGGTGGGGAGTTGCAAGGAACACAAGGGAGCAATGCAATATGGAGAGGGGAGGAGAGCAGCAGGAAGCACATGCTCTCATGGTACCCCTCACTTATCCCCATTACCCCCAAACTCCTCCCAATCATCCTCTGTAAGACCCCATCTACCTCCCCAGTGACCCCACCGTACAGCACCACTCACCACCGTGGCACAGCACTAGGACGTCCGGGTTGACCCCTCTAGCAGCATCAGCCATCCGCTGCACTCGCCCCACCGCCTCCTGCAGAGAGCACACGGTCCTCGCCCCTATGCTGCCCGCTGCTGTCAACCCCATATGCGCCACCACCACATCAGCCCCCGCGGCTGCCATGCTCCGCGCCTCCTCCTCGTTAAAAGCATACGGTGTCGTGAGGAAACCCAGGAGACTAGCCGTTTTAATCATGGTGACTTCGAGAGGGTACCCCATGTTGGTCTCCTCCAGATTGGTGCGGAAGGCGCCGTCGTAGAGGCCGACTGTGGGGAAGTTCTGCACCCCCGCAAAGCCGAGGGCGGCGAGGCGGCGCAGGAAAAGGGGCATCTGGCGGAAGGGGTCCGTTGCGCATACTCCCGCCAATACTGGCACTGACTTGATCACCTGGGGGGGGATGAGGGCGGAAGGAAGAGGTGAGGGATGAGGGGAGAGGGAAGGTGGGAGGAAGAGGGAGGAAGGGGATGAGAAGCAGGGCATGCACGCGGCACGCGGAGGAGGGGAGGGGGGATGTAATGTCAGACAGTCTGGTGGACGCAGCAGCGGCTCCTCCCACAATCGCACGGACCAACAGCACCTCTCACCGTAGCCACACTCACCGGCAGAACCTCCTTAGCTATATCTTCCACCACAGCGTTGGCATCAGCAAACGGCAGAACCTCTCACCCGTTGCACCTATTGCCACAATCACACTAACCGGCAGCACCAGCAGCCACTCACCGGCAGCACCTCCTTAGCCATGTCTTCCACCACAGCATTGGCATCGGCAAACGGCAGCAGCCCTGCCAGCGACCCCCGCCCTGCCATGCGGAAGCGTCCCGAGTTGTAGATGACAATCAAATCCACGCCGCCCATCTCCTCGCACTTGGCGCTGATGCCCGTGCCCGCCCCGCCCCCTATGATCGCCCTCCCTGCTGCCACTTGGGACCGGAGGGAGTGCAGGATGGCGGTGCGACGGGCGACTAGCCAGGGGATTGGAGTGAGGTCGAGAGCAGGAGGTGGGTTGAGAGTGGTGGGGATGGGTGGGGAAGGGGAAGGAGAGGTGGAGGGGGCAGGGGTGGTTGTGGCGGTGGCTGGTTCGGAGGTTTGGGGAGGGGGAGGAGCAGCAGAAGCAGGCGGGGAAGCAGTAGTGGGAGCAGTGGTGGATGGGAGGAGGGGCAGGAGAGCATTGACGAGGGCAGCAGCGAAGGCAGGGTCGTTGATGTGGTGGGGCAGACGAATGATCTGCGAGAGGGGAGAGAGAGGGGAGGGAGTGGGAGCGTGAAAGAATTGTAGAGGGGAGAATTATGGAGAGATTGAAGCCTCTTACCGCACACACCAGCCCATCTTCCCTCGCATACCAGTCGTTCCTTACCACACACCACCTGTTTTCCTTCCTTAGATGATTACTTGCAATATCGCTACTTTTCTGTTACCATCGGCACCGCCTCTCGCTCAGAATATCCAAACCGACCAGCACTGGAACTCCACAAACACCAGTCAACTCCGTCTCACCCATATGCACCGCACTCTATCCCTCCACCCTTCATCACCACCGTACCCACCTTCCTGCTGTCTGTCTGCACCACTTGTTTCTCCAGCTCCTCAAATAGAGCAGCGTCAGCAGCAGGGTCCCAAAACGCTATGCCCGGGGCGTCTAGAGCCGACAGGCCCCCCTCAGGCACCAGCAGTGTCACGGGCGCCTGTGATTGGTTCATCTTGCCCGCTATGAACTGTGCGATCCGACGGTTCTCGTCGGCCGTTGTGCGCATGAGGGTGACCTGAGGGAGGTGGATGGGTGGAAGAGGGGTGGAAGGAGGAGAGGAGGAGTTGAATAACGGGAAGACAGAGACAGAGCACAGATGCTTGACATACGCTTGGCAGACACTTGACAGACGTTGACATAAACTTGACAGACGCTTGACAGAAACTTGACAGACACTTGACTGACACTTGATAGACACTTGACAGATACTTGGCAGACACTTAACAAACACATGGCGTACCAACAGAAAGCACATCTATCTTGCATCTGTGACACCCCCACCCCCCACTCCCGCTCGCTGGCACATGGCAAAATAACCACACCTGCGGTATCTGAATGTGAAAATAAACCCCCAAGTCATTCTTTCACGATCAGTTCACAACCTACCCCTGTGGCACCAACCCACAGGCGTACCTGCAGGTTGTGCACGTGAAAGGTGCGCCCTTGAGACTCTCGAGTCTACTCAAACATCCCCTTGATAGAACTCGGTTCGGTGATATCACCTTGAAGGGCGCACCTTCCACGTGCACATCACCTCCCAATCGCACCTGTGGGTTGTGCACGTGAAAGGTGCGCCCTTCAAACTCCTTGGGAACGGAGGAAGCTTCTCCGAAGTTGACCATGTCGAGCGCCCCCAGGCTGAGCACGAGGGGCACCTTCCTCTGAATGGCGGCGTCGAACCTCGTGGGCCGGCATGGCATGGTGCCTCCCACCACATAGTCCGCTACCTCTGTCGTTGTGATGTCGAGAACAGCCTGTGGGGTGAAGGAAGGGCAGTGGGAAGCGGGGGAGGAGTGAGGGGCTGATTGGAGTGAGGGGCTGATTGGAGTGACTCTCACCACCCTGGTGGGCACAAATGGCATGGTGCCGCCCACAATGAAGTCCGCTACTTGTGTTGTTGTGATGTGCAGTACCGCGTGGGGAGGGGGGAGTGAGGAGTGGGGAGGAGGGGTGAGCTTGGAGTGGCTTTCATAAATCTGGCGGGCAGGCTTGAGAGGCCATGACGCCGCCTGCTAAGAGCTTTGAGACCAGGTCGTTTTGGATGGAGTGACTTTCTCAAAGCTCGCCCCCAGGCTGAGCACGACAGGCACCTTCCTCTCAATGGCGGCATCGAACCTGGTGGGCATGGCATGGCCCTTCCCCCCGTGCCTGTCGCATGGAACACCACGGTCTCCACCTCCCCTGTGCGTCCCTCCCCCCCCACCTCCCTGCGACATGTGCCTTAACGTGTTGCGACATGTGTCTTAACGTGTTGCGACATGTGCCTTAACGTGTTGCGACATGGGCGCACCTGAATGAGTCCAGAGGCAACGTTCTCCTCCATGGCCCTACCCCCCGTGCCCGTCGCATGGAACACCACCGTCTCCACCGCCCCTGCGCCTCCCGCCTTGCCTCCCTGCTTGCCGCCCTTTCTGCTGAGCAGCCGCTGCACCTCCGTAACGCACGGAGTGGTAACCTCAAACATCGTGATCCCCACTGTCACAGGCGCAGAGGAAGGCGGAGCGGTGGAGGGCGGTTGGGCGGGGTGCTGCGGGGCGGGCAGGGCGCGCAGGAGCAGCATGCCGGCGAGAGCAGCGGCGGCGGAGGAGAGGGCTGCGCGGAGAATGGCGTTGAGCCCCGCCACGTCCGCCACTGACGGCAGCAGCAGCAGGTCTGAGGTGCCCACGTATGGCGCCGTGTTGCCGCTGGTTGGGTGGCATAAGTGAGGGGGGGAAGTGGAGGGGGGTCAAGTGCATGGCGTTCAGCCCCACCACGTCCGCGACTGACGGCAGCAGGAGGTCCGATGTTCCCACGTATGGCGCCGTGTTGCCGCTGCGTTTTGTGGTATGGGGGGTTTGGATGGGTGTGGGAAGAGGTAGTGAGGAAGCAGTAACGGGTTGCGCCCATGAAGGGGGTACAGAGGGCGCGCCACGTCCGGTATGGGTGGCAGCAGCAACTCGATACAGTCACACCTCGTTACAGCAGCGCACCTGGCAACAGTGGAGACGATTATCTTAGGAACGCCGACGGGCAGTTCCCTCAGCGCGGGCGCAATGATGGCGGTTCCCCCGCTCCCCCCGATCCCCGCCGCGCATGCCAGCGCGCCCGCGTCCCACTTCCCCCGCACGAACCGCTTCAGCGCGTCGGCCACCGCCTGCACCGCCTCTCCTCGATCCGCGGCGAGAGACGCGGCGGACTTCGCGGCGGCGTCTGGATTCGACGCGAGGATGTCGGAAACGGAGATGGTAGGGAATGATGTGCTTGTAACGGGAGCCGCGGAGGACGGAGACGCGGAGACGTCGACTATAGAGATGGAAAAAGGCGGTTCCGCGGGGGTTAAGGAGGTAAGGGACCGTTTGAGCTGCGACGCGAGGAAGAGCAGCTCCTCAGATTTAGTGTCCATTGTGCCTATAACGAATACCTCGCGCGGTGCGGCCATGATTGCGCGCGGGAAAGTGGGTCCGAAACGAAGCTGCTGTCTATACTCTCTACAGTATTCCTGGTTGCCAGTCTGAATGTGCGGAGAGTGCAAACTCTTCTACTATTTCCGACAACACTGCCAGCTTCAAGGGGTGTCGAAGTCGAAATGGCGCAGCGACTTGGTTGCGACGCAATACGAAAACACGAAATTCTAGAAATCTTGAAATCCAGAGCACTCCGGCCAGCTAGAGAGTGTCATGGAAGGACTAGGCAGGAGAGGGCATATCGTACGAAAAGCATGGACAGGGGGATTCGTGCACAAGGATCAAGTCAGAAGATTACAACGGTTTCCGTCAAGATTTGGGCTTTCTAGCGGTTTCCGTCAAGAGATTTCTGTCATCTGGCTTGGTCTTCCCCGTCAAAGCACCCCAGCAACATTGATGAACAGCAGATTTTCCTCCCTTGACAGATTTTCCTGACGTGGCAAGATGCAAATCCACACCAGCTCAGCATGGATGTCTCGTTGACTTCACGAGGACAAAATTGTTGCTCACCCGGGAATGTTACTTGATCTACACCCAGCAAAGCAGGTCACTAAGAGATGCGCAACAAACAGTTAGGAACTTAACCCAACTTTAGATTTATTGGTTCCAGTTGTGACAAAGTATCTCTGTGAAAAATAAAGCCCTAATTTTATTCGCTATAAAAAATTACGCATCTGTTTGTTGCACCTCTTGGGCATGTGCTGCATTGGCATGCTCCAAGTCACTCATCAGCTCCTCGATAGGCGCCCCATAGTAATCATCATCATACTCATAATCACCTTCCGCCCCACCTGTCCCTTCCCCACCCCCTCCCCCCTCTCCTCCCTCCCCCCATTCCTCCCCCTCGTCCCCATACTCATCCCCCCACCCTGCCCCCTCCACTGCGCCCTGGCCCCCCACAACCTTCCCTCTACTGTCCACCTCATCCTCATCATAGTCGTCCTCATTAACAGATCTCTGGCTGAATTCGGTGCTTCCAACATTTCCATGCACATCACCACCACCGCTACCAGCAGCACCATCAGCACCACTACGAGCGCCCTCACCCCCCAGCATTCTTCGCTCTTCCTCCTGCCTCTCCTGCCCATCCCTCCCCATGCCTCTACCTGCCACCCCACCTCCTTCCCCGGTCACCTCTCCACCAAGCAAGCCTGCACCAGCACCACCCACACCCGAAGCCACCTCCCCTGTTCCACCAGCACCAGAAGCAACACCCTCTCTCTGACTGCTCGCACCCCTATCACCCCCAGGCAGCAGCGGTGGGAGGCGGCAGAAGTGGTTTTCAGTGCCCCCGCAGCAGCTGAGCAGGTTGGTGCGTGCCAGTGCGTGGAGCAATGACTCCAGCACCAGCAGAGATGGGCGCCGGTGAAGTTCCGAGCGCACTGAGGGGACATGCATGGGGCTGGGTGGAGTGGGTGGGGGAAGGGGTGGGGAGGGGTGCAGAGGGGTGGAGAAGGAAGGGAGGCCAAAGTGATCCTGAGTGCCCCCGCAGCAGCTGAGCAGGTTGGTGTGCGCCAGAGCATGCAGCAAGGACTCTAGCACCAGCAGGGACGGGCGCCGGTGCAGCTCCGAGCGCACTGAGGGGACGTGCATGGGGCTGGGGGGAAAGAAGCGAGACAAGAGACGAGAAGTGAGTAGGAGGTGAGGAGGAGGTTTTAGGTGCATGTTACAGCATGCGACAGCATGTTACAGCATGCGACAGCATGTTACAGCATGCGACAGCATGTTACAGCATGCGACAGCGTCGCTGATAGAACCAGTTCGTGCTTTAAAGATTCTCTCAAAAGCCTCGGACAACAAGGATTCCATGAGAGCACTTGATGGTTCTACAAGCAGAACGACCAGGTCTATGCAAGGTCGTAATGCTTTCCATCATAGCCCATCGAGTGCCCATCACAATTATGTGCCTCTGATGGCAACCCGGGGCAGAATGTGGGGGCAGGCGCATGAGGATGAGAGCACAATGATAACATGCAGAGCTGAGAAAGGTGTGTGTTATCATTGTGATAACACACACCTTTGTTATCATTTTGAGTGGAGTGGACTAACAAGTCGCGTGGCCTTTGTCAGGTGACCCACCTCTGCAGCACATGCACAGAGGCGTAGCGGATAAGGCCAAACAATGTGAGCTTGTCACACGCATGCAGCAGCAGGTACAGCACCGGCCAGTGCGGGGGCATGTGAGGCATGGGGATGGGGATGGCCGCTTCCCCTACTGTCCCTGCTGCCCTTGCTGCCCCTGCTGCCCCTGTTGTCCTTGCTGCTGCTGCCTCCCCAGTTCTTGCCACAGTAGCAGCGGTAGCACTGGAAGCAGCACCAGAGGCGGCATGGCGTGCTGCAGGCATGGGAGCACCGATGGCGCATCGGAAGCGGTGGGCAAAGGCATTGAAGAGGCGGCGAGCTTCGTCCGTTAGTGCGTGGGGGAGGAAGAGGGCCTGAGGGGAAGGGGGGGAGGAGGGAGGGGGGGAGGAGGGGGAGGGGGGGAGGGAAGGGAAGAAACGGAGGCATGGAGGCTGGAAGGATGAATTGCTGTTGTAACCCTCAAGAACACAGGGCAGGTATTTATGTGGAGTGGTCCACGCTAAAAGAAATTAATTAAGAGCCCCCAAAACGAATAGCAGGTTGTGATAAGGTCTGTGGTTTAAATGGATTTCGCTCACCTCATCCTCGCTCCCTGCACTCGTGTCCCCTCGTCGCCTGCCCACGCGCCCTCTGCTCACACCCAGCTGCTGCAGCGCTGGCAGCCAGGGCAGTGAGGCAAGAAGGAGCGAGCTGGATGGCAGTGAGGTGGTGGGAGGGGGGTGAGAGGGGAGACAGGGGGGCGAGGTGCAGGGAGGAACAGAAGGCGATAGGGGATAATGAGGCCCCTTGCAGGCGTCTCGTCGTGAACACTCCTATGCACTCCAGTCAATCATGGCTCGCCAGACAAATGACAAATGACTCCATTCGCGACCTCGCACCCGACCCCAACTGAACCGAGCCGGCCAGGCTCGTGTTTATGTCTGGCCTCCCCTGGGACTTCTTGCACTCTCCCTCGCCACAATCCCACTCCCCACACCCTCATTCCCCACCCTCTCACTCCCCACCCTCTCACTCCCCACCCTCTCACTCCCCACCCTCTCACTCCCCACCCTCTCACTCCCCACCCTCTCACTCCTCACATCACACCTATCAGCATGCAGGTATGCCACAGAGCGATTCATCAGCTTCAGAAAGTTTTCCTTTTGAGTCGACTCACACTCTTGCTCCCCAATCCCTCACTCCCCACACTCTCACCTGTCAGCACGAAGGTATGCCACTGAGCGGCCCTTCAGCCCCAGCAAGCGTCGCCGCCCCACCCCTCTCCCCCTTCCTCTCCCCACCCCCTTGGTCAGCCCCCTCCCCGTGCCCCCTCCCCCCGCCCCCCCCCCCACCTCGTGTGTGCCGTGCAGGCCCCCTCCCCCTCTACCCCCCACCTCCATCCACACGTCTGTTCGACTGCCCAGGCTGGTGGGGTGAGGGAGAGATGAGGGGGAAATGGAGAGAGGGAGAAACAGACTTGAGAATCAAATCAGTGAAAGGGGGGCCAAGTTTCCTCTAGTTCCCCCCATCTCCACCCAGGCTTGTTGCTACCGTGCCACCACCCAGGCTTGTTGCTACCGTGCCACCACCCAGGCTTGTTGCTGGGCCATAAACAACACGCCCGCGGGAGTGTGAGTGAACACATGCGCACACTAATGCACGCACCCACCATTGCACTGTACTGCACGAACCCATTGCATACCTTTTTCAGCACACTCACACATAGGCCTGCAGGCGCGTGGGCGGGGTGCGGTGCCCCATGCGCAGCACGAGGGAGTGCGAGTCGATGGCTGCCCCAAATTGAGGCGCGGAGGGCGTGTGGGAGAGGTGAGGACCCACCACAGCACAGGAACTGAGAGACAAGGGGGGAAGGGAAAAGGGGGGGGGGTTGGTGGGATGGGGAGAGCACCACGGCACAGGAACTGATAGGGAGTGGGAATGGGTGGGGAGGATGGGATTGGGGGAGAGGGGCAAAAGAAGGTGCAGAGGGGTGGAGATGTGAGGCGCGGAGGGCACATGGGAGAGGTGAGGACCCACCACAGCACAGGAGCTTAAAGAAGAGGGGAGATGTTTGCAGGTGGGGGAGGGAGGGGGGGATACGATGGTGGGTAATGTTGGTAGTGGAAGGGGCTTGGAAGAGGAGAGGAGAGGAGAGGAGAGGAGAGGAGGAGAGGAGGAGAGTAGAGGAGGAACGGAGGAGGAAGGGAGGAGAAGGGAAAGGCAGGAGAAGGGGTGTGCACGCACTTGACGACACAGCAGCTGTAATTCAGCCAATTGAATCGCCTTTGAGATCCTCCCAAAACAGCTTCAATGCGATGTATCTCGGAAACAAACTTCAGTGCAAGTTGCAGGTCATGAACTAAACAAACAGACGACGAAACGTAGGATGATGGCATATATATACACACCCAAGGGAAGGAACACCGCTGCTGTTGCTGCTCTGACCTCCAGCAACAGCACCAGCACCAGCACCACCAGCAGCAGCAGCACCAGCAGCACCACCACTCTCACTCTCCGCCCCGCCCCTCTCCCCTCCTCTCCCCTCCTCTCCCCTCCCTCACTCGCCTCCCCCGCACAGCCATGAGTGCCTCCACTGCTGCCAGCCCATCCACTCCCGGCCACTCCCCCACCATCACCCCTTCACACTCCCTCACTCGCCCCCCCTCTTTCCCCTCCCCACCCCCTCCTCTCCCTCTTCCTCGCTTCCTCCTCCTTTCCTGCAACCCTCTACCGCTCACCCCTCCGTCCTTCCCTCTGCCGCCTGCTCTCATTCTCCCTCCTCTCACCGCATGCTCCTTACCCACTCTCTCCCCGGCCCTTCTCACTCCCCCCACCCGCCGCCTCACCCAAAACTCCCCTGTATCCTCCTCTCTCTCATCCCCTCCCGTCTCAACTCCTACCCTTCGTCTCCTCTCCATCCTCTCCCCCTCCTCCTCACTCCAGTCTACAGCCAACCCCAGCGTCGACCCCTCCTCCTCTATCCCTCTGTCAATCGCCACTCCATGACTTCTGTTCCCGCTGCCGCCACCACCGCCACCATTACCACCGCCACTGCTGCTGCTGCTGCTGCTGCTGGACCCCGAGTGCTTGGTGGTCGAATCCACATGGGATGTGAAGCCTGGGAGCCTGTTGCTGGCTGTGACGGTACCTAGGTGGTGGCAAAAAAGGTCAAGGCATCAAGCCGAAGCAAGTTTTGAGGTGAATCTTGAGGCTCCTCAAAAAGGGGTGGCAAGAGAGATCAATCAAGGCAAGAGAGATCAATCAAGGCAAGAGAGATCAATCAAGGCATCAGGCGGAAGCAGTGATACAAGAACAGGTGACGAGTTGCAGATTCTGACATGGACGAGCACGTGAAAGCTCCTTGCCCTGCGTGCCTCGCGTATTTCTCTCGCCCCTCTCTCTCCTCCCTGTCCACTTCTCTCCAGAGACCACCTCTCGTCCTGGACCATCCCAGGAATTCATTCAACCCACACCGTAACTTCCTGTGAGCGCATGCCTCTCCGTACAGGCCTCCGTACCTTCCTGTGAGCACCACCAGGCATTAGCAGGCCTTGCTCTCGCATACCGTACACCCACTCTCTCTCCCTCACCTGCAGTCCCCCCACTCGAGCTGATCTACCCGCCACAGGAGACGATCGACCAGTGCCACAGCACACTGAGTTCTCAGAATTCACAAAGGTGATTCCATTACACGAGACGAGGCGACCAGAGAGACGACACAATTGTTTAGGGTCCTCAAGCTGACTCTTGAGTCGACTCAAAAGTCGAGACGACCAGTGAGAAGACACAATTCTTTACGGTTCTCAAACTGCACGTCAAACTCACCTTCATTTGTTGAGGCGCCTCAAAACGATTATTGTGGCGATTTTTGAGGCGCCTAAAAAATCGTCCCAGTGAGATGACACAATTTTTCAGGGTCCTCAAACTGCGCATCAAACTCACCACCACTCCGCCCACTTGCCCGCTGCCCGCCATGTGAGAGAGGAAAGGACCAGCGAGGCATCACTGGCACACAGCACACCCGCCACCACAGCAGCACCACCAGCACCACTGCCTAATTGCGCCCTCTCTTTCCCTCACCTTCACTTGACCACTCGTGCTGCTCTTGATACGTCTCAAAAGACCACTTTTGACATGTCTTAAAAGTCTGCTCGCACTGCCATGACGAGGATCAATGAGACAGCACGACGCACACCCACCACCGCAGCACCTGCTAGCACCACCCCCAGCACCACCAGCGCCACTATCAGCAGCACTGCCTCATTTTCTCTCACCTGCACTTTGACCCCTCGTGCCACTCAGGCTGCCGTGGTGGAGAATCAATGAGGTGGCACGGAGCACACCCACGGCCGCAGCACCTGCCAGCACTACCAGTAGCACCATTGCCGCCAGCACCACCACCCACCGCCGCACACGCCTTCTCCTCCCTTCCACCACCACCCCCCTCCCTCCCTTGCCCCAGCCCCCACTGCTGCTTCCAAGTGACGCCCCACCCAACCCAAAATGAAGCCCAAAACTACTGCTGCTGCTGCCACGCGCTTGGCCATGGTGGGAGGAGGGGAGAGAGGAGGAGGGGAGAGAGGAGGAGGGGAGGGAGGAGGAGGCAGAGAGCCAGCGCCATCGGTGGCGGAGGTACCGCCACACGCGCCACTCCCCCGCCTTGTTGCCCTTGCTGCCACTGCTGGTACCGCTAGTGCTGGTGCTGCTGCGGGAGGCGGCAGAGGAGGGGTAGGAGCAGGATGAGGAGGAGTCGAGAGGCATGGTGACCGCAGCAGCGGCAGCGAGGGGGGAGAAGCCTTGCAGCGACTGGCCGAGGACCAGAGAGGAGTGTGCTGGTTGCTGGGGGCGAAGCGCAATCAAGAAAAGGGATTGGCGACAGGGAAGAGAGGGCGGAAGGGGTAAGTATAGGAAGGGGAAACAGGTGAGTGTTGGAGTGCGAGAGGGGGCAGAACTGGCATGGCACAAGGGAAGAGAGATGCTCAAGGTGCGGTGCGGTTCACAAGGGCTTCCCGTCAAATGCCAGTAAATTGCCAGAAGGAGCCAGTACTACCCAAAAATCGTTCTGGGGGGGAAGTCGTACTGTAGTACAGTACTGCTAAGAGTCGGTCAAGAGCCGTTGAAAGCCACCCGAATGCCGCCAGTCAAATGACGTTATAAGCTGGTGCTGTCATTGCGAAATGGGGGAGCATGGGGAAGGGCGCATCTGCATTTTCTCACCGAGGCTCGCCTCATGGCGGATTCGGATTCGTTCGTGCACTCCGCGCTGGCAACTCAATGACGTGGGAATGGAGCAGTGTAGCAGAAGCGCTGCCAAGGAGGTGGACGGAACGGATCCAAACGACTCCGCGCGACTCTTTTTCTTGCGCTCTTCAGGCCTGTCGCGCTCGCTACTCGCGCCTGCCCCGCCGCGCTCACTTGCGCCTGGCCGCGCTCACTTGCGCCTGCCGCGCTCACTTGCGCCTGCCGCGCTTACTTGCGCATGAACACCTTTCCCCCGACGATCTTGTGCGCGGGCTTCCCCTTGATCATGCGCATCCGCGCAAACTCCGACCCACACGCGGGGCACTTCATGTCCCCCGCCGTGAAATCCTCCGCAATTCGCTCCACGAAACACTTAACTAATGCCCCGTTGCCGCCCTTTCGGTACCGGTACAGCTGCTGCTGGCACTTAGCGCAGAATATTTTCACTGTCTTGGTCGGCCCGCTCGAGGCGGGAGGCTTCGATTCGTTCTCGTTAGAGTCTTCCTCGCTGGCGCGATGGACGGATTTTGCCGCGCTTGCTGTTATCACCGCTTCGTTTAGGCGACGAGTCGCGACCAATTCAGCGCGCGAATGTGTGAAGAGGCGAGTAAGATTACTGAAACTGGAGCTGGACGGACAGAGGCAATCAAGATTTCGCGTGCTGGAAGTGACACAGGCGATCGAATCGCTCGCGACGGAAGCTACAGGGGAGAAGGAATTCAGACGACGCGCAGAAGAAGGAAATGCCGGCACCGGCACGAGCACGCTGGAGCTGGGGACGCGCGAAGCCAGAGGCGCGGCGCGTGCGATCATTGCAAGGATGGATACAGTGCGGTGGCGTGTGGTGCTGCGAAATTGTTTGTTCAAGCAGGCAGCCACAACATTACACTCCTTGCGGATTTGGTTTCAGTCCAGTCCTGCTATCTGAAACAACTCTCGTGGAGACTAGACTGGAGAAAATATATCGTAGGAGAGCTGCAGTTCGAGTTCTGAAGGGGGCATGGATCAGCAGGCCAGCGATAAATTCGAATGGAGTTGATCTGGTAACTTGCAAGCCTTGTCGCAGTGCCGCCGGGCTTGGCTCGAGGGTAACATGCTGGAACTTTGAGTAGGGAAGTGGACAAGGCGATAGCGCGAAAGTTATATTGTTTTCGTTCGCATCGAACACCTTATTGGTACCCGAAAGCGACAGCTTCACGACACTTGTAGCGCAGTGACACAAACCACGAGAATTCCACAACGATTGTCGCAGCATTTGTTATCCAAACCATTAGGCAACATCCTGTCTCCGCCATTTCTACCCCCACCTCCCTGCTCCTCGTACTCGCGCCACACCACACCATGCCGACCTAAAATTGCCGTCTTGTCCATCTTAGATACCAGGGTTCCTCGCTCTAGATCTCTCAGTGCTGCTTTCATTGTGGACGGACCTCGCGATTCGTGGAGTCCAATCTTCGTGCGACGCTGCACGACGATCCCAAGCCGCGCGAAATGCGAAATGCGTTGTAACCCTTAGTGTGCTCCCCTCCACTACATGCAGTCGCCATTCTCTCTCGCGACATTCAGATAAACGCGACATTTTCCTCGAATATTCATCGCTGCACCCATCCCTCCCACTGGTCTCGTAGTCTCGTCATTTCAACCGCCTTACAAGTTCCGTCTAGTCAACTTCCGTGTATCACCACGCGCAATGGCTGGATCCCCAGTTTCCTTTTCTTCTTCCTCCTCCTCCTCCTCGCCCTCCTTCCTCTCCTCCCGCCTCCTGGGCACCATCATCCGCGTTACATGCCTCCTCGCTTGCCTCGCCATCATCGCCTTCTTCGGCGTGAGCTACTGGGCGCTGCGGGCCACTAATCTCACGCCACGTGTCGAGGAGTTTAGGGACCACTGGGACTCGTGCGTAAATCAGCCCATGGGCCACTGGGTCAAGCTCGCGGTGCCGTCTTCGCGCGGCGTGCCCTGCTCGCACATAGTTAAAGCGGCGATTAAGAGAGGAGAGGCCGGGGTGGAGCGAGGCCGGCTGCTGCATCGGCTGCAGCTGAAAGAGCATCCCGGAAGGGACGGCTGCGCGGTGAAATACGACGCTGACGTGGACCCCTGGGACATGCATCCCGTGCCACGTGGCAAATTCTCCTACTCGTCCTGCCGCGTGGAATGGATCATCTACTCTTCCGATTGCGGACTCTCCATGGTTCGGATGGCGGATTTCGCGCACATGGCGGCCATTCCGTTTGCCGTGGTGGGAGTGGGCGTGCCCTGGAGAGGCCAGGGCGGCCGCATGCGGACTATCCGCGACTACCTCCGCTCGCTGCCGCCCGACCGCATTGTCATTTCCACCGACGCCGACGACGCCTTCCTCATGCCGGGCCCCCGCTGCCGCCCGGAGAATCTCGTGGAGGCGTTTCTCTCGCTCAACGCGCCCGTGGCCTTCGGTGGCGAGATCTTTTGCTACCCGGACTGGCGGAAAATCGAGGTGTTTTACCCTCGGAAAATCAACGAGACGAAGAACTGGTTCCTGAACTCCGGAGCCTATGTGGGATATGCGTGGGCCCTGGCAAAGATCATCGATGCCACATACGTAGGAGACTGTATGCAGGACCAGCGTGCGTACACCCTCGGGTTCATCGGCCAACAATACCTATTCAGGCACCTCCCACGCGTGCCCTACCCTGAAGCCAGCGACTTTGAATCAGCTCTTAACAGCATGGGTAGTGTCACTGCGGCTGTGGCCGCCCAGGAAAAGTTCGCTGACTCGCCGTTCCGCAAGCCGTGGCGCAACCCGCGGCCTGTTAAGTACAACACGACGATGTCGCCGTTCCATCGGCTGCCGCCCGCATCAGAAGAGAAGGTGATCAGCGAGGCGATGGAGGCGGGGCAGAAGGATGCGCCGTCCGTCATGGCTGCTCCGTTCATGAAGCTGGATCATTACAACACGCTGTTCACGCACCTGGGGGGGTATCCCTGGGAGGAGTTTGAGGTGGTGGGGAAGGGCGGAGAGGCGATGGTGCGCGCAAAGAGCACGGGCGGCATGGCGTGCATTTTGCATCAGCAGGGAGATAAGATGCAAAATCTGTCCATGTACTATGTGTTTGAGCAGGCCAGGCTGGATGATGTGCAGGCTGCACGGGGATATGTGTAGAGGAGATGGTGGCTGCATATTGATCGGACAATGTCTTAGCGCGGTGAGGTGGGGTTTCATGGTGTAAGGTCCGTAAACCGCATAGGGAATGCCTTGCATTGCTTGCATTTTGTATTTCATATGGTTCATTGATCATAATTCGTTTTGTGCATGTTTCAATATCAATAGAGCCTGAGTGTATTGTAGCAATGAAGCGAATAGCCAGTACGGTACTAGAAATATAGGGAAGCTGGCAAAGAAACATCATCCAGTTTGGATGGTCAGGAATTAAGTTTTTGAGGAATACAATGTTCATGTAAGGTTTTATTTTCTGTGTGCGTGTAGCCGAGACAGTGGTTTGGTGACACAAGCGTGTACGGTGCGGTGTGAGCAAAACCACGTGTTCCGCTCTTTCCGCGTTCGCCGCCACGGGGCCCCATTTTTTTTTTTGTCAGGCGCGCGGCTTCAGCGGTTCATACCCATCCACAGAACCACAAAAGTGTGCCCCGATCATCCCATCCCGCTCATCACTCGTCCAATCGGTTTCTGAAGGCCACATGACGGGTCAGCGGAATATTCGTTTCTGCTCAAGATGTACAGTTGCATCCAGGCAAGTACGGTCAGACTCTGCCCCACACACAGAAAGTTGTCAGTTCGCACTCCATGGGCCAGCAGGAATGCACGGAAGTGCAGTAGCGTGAAATCAAACCGTACCATAACGTTCTAAAACGTGAATGTTTACATTCTGAAACTCCGAAAACTCTTTCCCCATCGCATTGCACCGCATGTAAGTGAACAGTTACAACCCCTTTCTGACAAACGCGACATTCACTGCTGCAAAAGATATGGAATGCAAATCAAAATCCCTCGTCCTTGTTCATACCAACCCCGAAACACCACATCCCCTTACGAACTTGCGACACGACCTGGTTCATCGCCCCTTCTCCTCAATCCATGTCGGTCCGTCTCTTTGCGGCAGCAGCAGCGCGTCTCTGCTGCTCCATCACCACCGTCGCTCTGCGTCGCCCTCGCAATGCGCGCACTGCCACCACTCAATCGCTCCCGCCTAGCACCTGTCTCAATGCATCCCGGTCCAAGCATCTGACTCCAGTGAGTCCACCGCGGCGCGACCAACTCAGTCCGCTTATGACGTAATATAGTACGTGATCCTGGCCTCGACCCACCCAGCTTTTTCCTGGGAGTCCATGCGAAATCACTCGCGCCTTCCGGCCTGAAGACTCCAAAGCTGTTTTCTCGGCAGGCGGGCGGCGGTCCTTGGTTGCCGTCTCCGTCTCCGTCGCCGTTGCCGTCGCGCGCGGCGCGCGTCATGGGCGCGTGTTTCTCCAGCGAGGCTTTGCTGTCGCCGATAGGAACAGCGCGGCGTCCGGGGGGGGTAAGGCGATCCGAGCGTCAAAGTACGACTGACTGACTCCCAACTACCGAGATAACTGCTGCGTTAATTCAAAATCCCCCAAGCAGCGCCATATTCGCTTTAGGTTCTGATGCTCATACGTCGCTGACCAATCCAGCTTTTCTCCAGACCTCGCGCTTCAATCCACCCGGAACCGAGGCGCGTCTACCTGCTCTCCTCCCCTCCTCCCCCCTTCCCCGCCCCCCGGTCGTCCTGCGCAGCGCACAAGGGCGCTCCCCGTGCGCCCGAGAACCTTTTGGGGCAGCCGTTTCGGGCAGTGGAGGAGGATTATGAGATAGGTGAGGGGAGGAATGGGGGATAGGTGAGGGGAGGAATGGGAGGTAGGTGAGAGGAGGAATGGGAGATGGTGAGGAAAGAAATGGGAGATGGTGAGGGGAGGAATGGGAGATGGTGAGGGGAGGAATGGGAGATGGAATGGAAGATGAGTGAGGGGAGGAATGGGAGAAGGGCGAGAGAAAGAATGGGAGATGGTTGAGGGAAGGAATGGGAGAAGGCGGTGTGGTGTGGAGGCAAGCTGGAAGGCATGTGTGTGGCCTTCCAGCGGAGCAGGCAGGGTGTGGGTGCACACATCACATCACATCACATCACATCACATCACATCACATCACATCACATCACATCACATCACATCACATCACGTCACGTCACATCACGTCACGTCACATCACATCACATCACATCACATCACGTCACGTCACGTCACGTCACGTCACGTCACGTCACGTCACGTCACGTCACATCACATCACATCACATCACGTCACGTCACCTCACGTCACATCACATCACATCACATCACATCACATCACGTCACATCACATCACATCACATCACATCACGTCACATCACGTCACGTCACATCACATCACATCACATCACATCACATCACGTCACATCACATCACATCACCTTACGCCACCTCACGTCACATCACATCACATCACATCACATCACATCACATCACGTCACATCACATCACATCACATCACATCACATCACATCACATCACATCACATCACATCACATCACATCACATCACATCACATCACATCACGTCACGTCACCTCACGTCACATCACATCACATCACATCACATCACATCACGTCACATCACATCACATCACATCACATCACATCACATCACGTCACATCACGTCACGTCACATCACATCACATCACATCACATCACATCACGTCACATCACATCACATCACCTTACGCCACCTCACGTCACATCACATCACATCACATCACATCACATCACATCACATCACATCACATCACGTCACGTCACGTCACGTCACGTCACGTCACGTCACGTCACGTCACATCACATCACATCACATCACATCACATCACACCACGTCACATCACATCGCATCGCATCACGTCACATCACATCACATCACATCACATCACATCACATCACATCACATCACGCCGCTTCCTTTGACGCGTGTGTGCATGTGCTGCGCGCATTGTCCATGTGTGCATGCGTGCGTGCATGTGCATATCTGCATGTTTGCGTGCGTGTGTGTGTGTGTGTGTGTGTGTGAGAGAGAGAGAGAGAGAGAGAGAGATGTGTGTGTGTGTCTGTGTGTGTGTGTGTGTGTGTGTGTGTGTGTGTGTGTGTCAACCGCACTCCACCCCACCCCTTCCACCCTTAAGGCAGGGAGCAGGGCGGGGCGTGTATGGCGTCACATATATTGCAAGACACTGCCAGGCATCCACTGCAACTCAAGGCCCAGCTATGTGTACTGTGCTATACATACATCCACTCTACCGCACTCCACCCCACCTCACCTTGCTCCGTCTGCAGGCAAGGAGCTGGGGCGGGGCGGGGGCTGTATGGCATCACATACAATGGCAAGGCACCGCTAGGCATCTCAATTCTTGTGCATGTGTGCATGCGTCCAACCCACTCCACATCTATCCCATACAGGCAAGGAGCTGGGCCGCGGGCTGTATGGCATCACGTACATGGCAAGGCACCGCAAGTCGCAGCAGCACTTTGCCTGCAAGACCATCACCAAGGTGACGCCGCCCTTCCTGCCCACACCTTTCCACCCCATCCCACCGATCCCCACCATTTTGGCCCAATCAGCACCACCGCTGCCTCACGTTTGTGCCTGCTTGGCATGAGATGAGAGGCCAACATTCTCAACAACCTTTCCACCCCTTCCCACTGTTTCCCACCTGGCCAACCCCATCCAGCGCCACCTGTCTGACACGTCATGTGCCAACGTGGCACAGAAGGCAGTCATTTTTCACCGCATTCAACCGTTTCCCACCTGCCCACCCCCAACCAGCGCCACCTGTCCCCCACGTCATGTGCCAACGTGGCACGAGAGGCCGCCATCCTTGCTATCACCTTTCTACCGCATTCCACCTTTTCCCACCTCCCCACCCTCCACCAGCGCCACCTGTCCCCCACGTCATGTGCCAACGTGGCAAGGGAGGCAGCCACCCAAGCTCACACCTTTCCACCGCATTTCACCGTTCTCCACCTGCCCATCTCCCACCAGCGCCACCTGTCCCCCACGTCATGTGCCAACGTGACAAGGGAAGCAGCCATTCTCGCCCACCTGTCCACGGGCCACGCGGGCATTGCGACGCTCATCGACCAATACGAGGACGCCACGTGTGTGCACTTCATTCTGCAGCTCTGCACAGGTGTGGAGTGGGGGGGGGGGGGGGGGGGCGTTGGGGTGGTGTGCAAGAGGGGTGGTGCACAAGGGGTGGTGTGGTGTGATGGGGTCCTGTGGCGGGGTGGGGTGGGGTGGGGAATGGTGGGTACTTTTTGTGTGTTGGGTGGTGTAAATGCAGTGTTGGGCGGTACAGGTAGAGTGGGTGGGCGAGAGGACATGTGGGGTATCACAGCACAGCTGATATGATGGTGATGGTGGGTGTAACGCAGAGGGCAGGCAAGTCTCTTAGCACAAACAGTCCATTCCCGCTCCGCTCCCCCGCTTCCTCTCCCTCTAAGCCTGTAAAAACGAATACGAATACGAATACGAATATTTTTTCACCCTATTCTCCGAATAATGTGTGGTTTCTTATTTGACCGAATACTGACCCAAAACCGAATACGAATACGATTCGAATACTGACCCAAAACCGAACACGAATACGATTCGAATACTGCAGAATTCGAATCGAATACGACTAAGTTTAAAAAATAAATCTTGTAGAGGCAGTGTCAAACAGGTAATGCATGTTCGACACAGGGTGATACAATGTACCTTATACTACCAACATCACGACTCAACCCCTGTCCAGCTACTATCACAGACTGCCAACGATGATAGCCGCATGAAGGGAAAGTATGGGGGGGGGGGGGAATGGTAGAATATCGAATAGTAACGAATACCTTGAATATTCGTTACCCGAATATTCTACATTCACGAATACCCGTGATGCGAATATTTTCGAATACATGGTCGTTTCTTATTCTCTCGAATTCAGGTATTCGAACGAATATCGAAGAGTTCTCGAATACCGAATATTCTTTTACAGGCTTATCTCCCTCCACTTACCCCCACTTCAGCCCAACACTCCCGGTAGAATTCCTTGCCAAAGCTTCACCTTGCCTCTGAAATCCCTCTCCCCTACCCTCCTGCCTCTCCATTTTTGACAGGTGGATAGCAACAATTCTTTCATCTCCCATACCCTCCCCACCCTCCCCACCCTCCCCACCCACCCACCCAGGCAGTATGCTGTATGACAGGGCAACGAAGAGAACATCATTTGTGATCAAATCACAAAGCCTCTCCTTTGTTTGCCTCTTCCTCCTCCCCGCTCCCCACCACGCCCCTCCAACCGCCACCCAGGCGGCATGCTATATGATGGGATCAAGGCGGAGGGCAGCTACAGTGAGCGGCGGGCGGCCGGCATGGTGCGGCAGATAGTGCAGGCGGTGCAGTACATGCATGAGCGGGGCGTTATCCATCGCGATCTCAAGCTCGAAAACTTCCTGCTGCTGCACCCCGGGGACGATGCCCCACTCATGGCCATTGACTTTGGCCTCTCAACATTCTTCGAACCGGGTGCGTGCCAATTTTTTAGGCTCCTAAATGATAAGCTACTTTGCTGTGTGCTGGTGTGTTGATGAGTCAGCTCACCTCATGCTTATATTTTTTCCCTCACCGCATATCCCAGGGCAGCTCTTTAAAGAGGTGGTTAGCAGTGCGTGCTATGTGGCTGGCACCAGAGGTGCTGAGGAGGGAGAGATTACAGCAGTGAGGGCTATGTGTGGAGTCGTGAAGTTATGCATGGGCAACGAGCCAAGCCGAGTTTTACTCGGCTCGTCCCCAGGCACACTCGTACGAGCTTTGTTCCGAGCCGAGTTTTGCTCGTACGAGCTTTTTCCGGGCAAATGCAAGCTCGTGACTCGGCTAAATACCACGAGCTTTTCAAAAGCTCGTCCGAGCTTCAAGGAAAGCTCGGTCGAGCGGAGGGAAGCTCGGCTCGTTGCCATATACATGCACGAGCTTTTCAAAACGCTCGTCAGCGCAACGAGTGCTCGGCGAGTTCTAAAAACTCGCCGAGTTAAACTCGCCTCGGCTCGGACGAGTTTTTTTCAGGGAAAATGAAACTCGTCACTCGCCCTCGAACGAGTGCCTCGTAGAGCCGACGCGAAAAACTCGCCTCGGTGCCCATGTATACGTGAAGTCATCACTCCCTCCTCCCTCACCTCCCTTCACTCTGACTCCTGACTCCGTGTCTCTCTCTCCTCAGGCCAGCGCTTAAAGGAGGCGGTGGGCAGTGCGTACTATGTGGCACCGGAGGTGTTGAGAAGAGACTATGGCAGCGTTGTGATGTGTGGAGCGTTGGAGTCATCACATACATGCTGCTGTGCGGCACTCCACCATTTTGGAATGGTATGGAATTTGGTTGTGTGTGGTACGGTGGAATGCGGTGATATTGTGTGTTGGGAATGCATGGTGCCAGAGTGTGGCGTGTGGAGCGTTTGAGTGATCACCTAGATGTTGCTGTGTGGAACCCTTCTGGGATGGTGAGTTGGGATGAGGCGGTTGTGTGTGGTGGAATGCGGTGAGTGAGGTGGTGTTGTGCAGGCCATGGTATGTGACAAGGCAGTTATGGCAGCGAGGGTGATGTGCGGAGCATTGGGGTTATCGCCTACCTGCTGCTGTGCAGCATCCCCGCCCTTCTGGGATGGTATGCTGGGATGAGATGGTATGCCATGGTGTGGTGATGTGGTGCAACGCGGTGTGAAATACGGAGCATGTATCTTGAGCAGTAAGTGTCATGTCGAGCTTTGGTTGGCGTGATAACATGCGTGCTGCTGTGTGGCACCCGCCCTGCTAGGATGGTGGGTTGCGATGAGATGTGCCCCCGGGGGTACATATGCATATGTACTACCGCGTATAAGAGGGGTGAGAGACATACAATTGCTGCCCCCAGAGGTTGTCAGTTCACCCACTCGCAACGTACCAAACCATACCATGGCCTTTCGTCTCTTTTAACTCATCCGCTTTTCCACCATCGAGTTGAGTGCCTCTATCGATACATCAAAGCGCCTCAACGCGGTTTGGAGATTTCCAGTGTCTGCACGCAGTGGGTCTGCGCTGTACCGCAGTTGTCTAGTTTTGAGGCGCCTCAAAACTGTCTGCACTGTACCGCAGTTGTCTAGTTTTGAGGCGCCTCAAAACTGTCTGCACTGTACCGCAGTTGTCTAGTTTTGAGGCGCCTCAAAACTGTCTGCACTGTTCCGCAGTTGTCTAGTTTTGAGGCGCCTCAAAACTGTCTGCACTGTACCGCAGTTGTCTAGTTTTGAGGCGCCTCAAAACTGCCTGCACTGTACCGCAGTTGCACATGCACGGCCCCTCCTTTTGCCATCCCCCCCTCCCTGGCTGCTTCCCCCCCCCCCTCCTCCACATGCGCCTTCACTTTTATTCACCCCCACCTGTATCGGAGGAGGGCATATGTGAGGCGGTGCTGAAGGGAGAGTACGAGATGAGCAGTGCCCCCTGGCCGGCCATCTCCCAGCAGGCGAAGCACCTGGTGGGGCGCATGCTGGAAAGCGATGCAGCCCAGCGAATCACCACCCGGGAGATTCTAGGTAGGTGGGTGGGTGTGTCTGGGCCAGCAGTTTGAGGGTACGAGATGAGATGAGCAGCCCATGCCAAGTGCCTGGTGGGGCACATGCTGCACAGCAACGCGACGCCGCCCGACGAATCAGCACACAGGAGATCCTTGGTTGGTGGGTGTGTGTCTTGCGGGGTAGTGCAATATGAGCTGGGGGAAGTGGGCAGCGCCACGCCACCTGGCCAGCCATCTTCCAGCAAGCTAAGCACCTCGTGTTTTGAGGCGTAGTTTTGAGGCGCCTCAAATCCAGCAAGCCAAGCACCTCGTGGCGCGCATGCTGGAGATGGATGCTTCCAGGCGAATAACCACACGGGAGATCCTCAGTATGTGTGTTGTGGGAGAAAGAAGAGGGGGGAGCAGAGGGGAAAAGGGGGGAAGGGAGTTGCTTTAAGAGGGGAGCACGCAACGGGTGTGCTTAAGGGGGAGCTGGCTGGATGGTTGCTGCACTCCAACTCTAAACATGAATCAGTGTGTTTTTATTTGGACTTTCCATCGAGCGTTCTCGCGTATGCATTCACCACCCATACAAACACACTCCCTCTGAATCACACTTTCATGCACTGCACACTCACTCACTTTGACTCTCACACGTGCATGCACCACAATCATTCGTCTCCGCACAGAGCATGAATGGGTGCGAGAGGGAGGAGCACCCGCGTGCCCTCTGTCTCTTCCCGTCATGAAGCGCATGCGCCAATTCTGCCAGATGAACCACCTCAAGCGACAAGCTCTTGCAGTAAGTGCCTTGTGAACCTGCAACCCTGCAAACCTTAACACTGCAAACCCTTAACACCGCAACCCTTCACACTGCAACCCTTCACACTGCACTTTTTCTTCCCTCCCTTGCCTACACCTTCCCCTCCCCCTTCCCCTCCACCTCCCCCAATCCCCGACCAGGTGGTGGCGAGATCAGAATAGAGTCTATACAGGCAAAGCTGGCAGCCCAAATTGCACAAGTTTTAAAAAGTTGACGGGAGGGGAGTTTTACTGGGTTGGGTTTTGGCGAGAGTTACGGATTTCGTTGAATCGTTTTCGCCAAACCCAGCCAGCCCTGCGTTTTTACCTTGGTGTCAGTGTGTGAGACTCCGAAGGTCCCAAATTGCAGCCGCACTTCCTTTCAAAGCTTGCAGAGCCAACTCCGTCAAGTTTTAAAAGCTTGACCCGCGCGGCCCGCAATTTGGGCCGCAGGCTGTAAGCCAGGAATGGCCCACTGGTGTGCAAATATCGTAGTTGCCTCTGCTGGAAAGCAACATTTGTTTCTTCATATTTATTCATTGTTCATCCACTCATTGATGATTGCAAGGATCAACAAAGCATACACCAGATATGTAGAACTGCCCTGTTAGTAATCGTCCACACAGCTATGCGAGATCAGAAACGAACAGACAGACCATCCTAGAAATACAAAGAAAGCGTATTTCCCCTGAAACAAGGGACTAAGCGAAAGGTCAAGAGCGGCTTTGAAGCTCCACCACGACTTATAACATTCTATACACGTTAAACAGATCTATGCCCTCTCTCCACGGATGCGCCGAGCCAACTGAATGTCCTTAGGCATGATGGTGACACGCTTGGCATGAATGGCGCACAAATTCGTGTCCTCGAACAAACCAACGAGATAAGCTTCGGCAGCTTCTTGGAGCGCGAGCACGGCATGGCTTTGGAACCTCAGGTCCGTCTGCGCAGCACAGGTAATAGCATTAAGTCACGGTAAGGAAGGAAAACAGAGCGAAGAAGCGAGGATCAATATTTTAAAAAGGAAAATATCAGACCTTGAAGTCTTGAGCAATTTCGCGAACCAGCCGCTGAAAGGGAAGCTTCCGAATTAGCAGCTCGGTACTCTTCTGGTACTTGCGAATCTCACTGCCAAGCCATCGAAAAAAATGTCAGAAAAGCGCACCACTAAGATAAAGTCGAAACTTCTTTAAAAAACGCACCGAAGGGCGACCGTTCCGGGACGATAACGATGAGGCTTCTTCACTCCTCCTGTTGTAGGAGCGGACTTCCTCGCAGCCTGAATCACTCAACAGGAACATGAACCAGTTGGGCGTATAAGGCATCTGGTGACCGTGCTAAGAGAGTTAGATGTGCTTAAACAGGTATCAAAACTAGGTCTACCTTAGTGGCGAGTTGCTTCCTAGGAGCCTTTCCTCCAGTGGACTTCCTAGCAGTCTGCTTGGTACGAGCCATAATGCAGATATAATATGCCCTAGGGTTGAAGACTATGAAGATTGGAAAAGGTTGGTAAACTAAGTCGACTTGAGAGCGCAAAATGACTTAGGAACAAAACTGAAGAGGCAATAATAAACTCAAAACAGGGAAATAGACCTCGCACGGAAGGACCTAGGCAATAGACCTGATGGAATGGAATGGAACACATCACAGCGTCGCTCGCGACCATCAAAAGCAAACCCTAGGGATTGAGGAAGCGCTTCTCAGCAAAAGCATGAGTTCCGGTGGTCGCGATTTACCGTCGATAAGGAGGGCAGACATACGGATCTGACGGTCTCTGACGTCAAGTTCGTTCATTCCTCTCACAGGCGCCTTCGCCAAAAGGAAGCGTAAATCCACAGTTGTATGAGAAAGTTAGGGCGTGAACCGTTACACAATGGCAATTACATCCCATCATTTTGATTTATGGTGAAGTTTCTTTTCTATATTTACTTAGCAACACTCACATACGCATATACCACTGTTCATCCAAAACACTGGATTATCTTTGCGAACCGTTTATTCGTCGTGTTCAGAGTTTATGCCCGTTAGGACATTTCATAACCGCCGGTAATTCTATATGAACCCATGTACCTTACTGTTATAGTCACTTCTGTCGATGTTCTAATTTATTTACTGACAAGGTCCATACTAATCACAAAGTTTCAACATAGTAGATTAGGAGTGGGCTCAGGAGCCATGGCTAGAGGAACGAGAGAAGCGAGAGAGAAGTGTCACCAACAAAAGAGGAGGTTCACTATGGAGCGAGCAGTATAAATAGACAAGCAACAAGAATGGTGCACCACCAACAGTTTATGATAACTGCACTAAACTACAGCTACATGCAGTTACATAGATATATGTCAGAGGTCCACTGATGATCCCCGATTGATCCTAGGGAAGGGTTACAAGCACGTCGGCCTGGGGGGTTATGGGCGCACTCACCCGCTATACAAACAAGCCCTTTTATCCCAGTGGTTAGTGACTGGGATTTTGACATGGTATCAGAGCGAAGGTCTCGGGTTCGAATCCCGGTGTGTGCACCTCGGGCATCCCAGTGCGGGGGGGTGTCAGAGGTCCACTGGTGATCCCCGATTGATTCTAGGGAAGGGTTACAGGCATGGCGGCCTGGGGGGTTATGGGCGCACTCACCCGCTATACAAACAAGCCCTTTTATCCCAGTGGTTAGGGCGCGTGTGATCCAAGGATTTTTGTCAAAGTTCGAACTCAAACCGCTTTGCATCGTGGAGAGACATCGCTCAATTGTATCCTACCGTGTAGAACCTTTCTAAAAGTTCGAACTTTGGGAAGTTCGAACTTTGATCACACGCGCCCTTAGTGACTGGGATTCTGACAATATATTCCAACACTCCCCCATAACTGCCAGCAGCATGAGTTTGTGCAGCAACACTCCTAGATGGGTACACCAAGCAGAGTAAAGCAGCAGTAGGCAAGAGCAGTGACAACCGGTGCAGTGGTGGCAAATTCAGCTGCAACAACCCCTCAGCCAAGATAGAAGCAAGCAATAGAAGAAGGTGCATGTGGCGCAGGTAGACTGGAGAGGAGTGTGCGACGGCAACGTGCGGCGGCACAGCAGGGCCCAACGGCAGTGCCTGCCGCTCAATAGCAGCAGACGACAAGCGGAACAGACGAAACAGTGGGTGGCGGCAGGGGCTGCAGCTGGAGGTGCCACGGTAGCAGCGGGCGGCAGCAGCAGATGCCCAGCTGACTTCCCGCCACCCTCACTTACCCTCCCCCCCACAGCTGCAACCGTGGCAGAGAGGGAGAGCAAAGGGTGGACGACTGTTGGTGCGGCGAAATCTCTCTCGCGACCCCCTCAAACTCCCCCCCTTCACCTCCACCCACAATAGCAGCTTCGTCTTCCACTCACACCCTCCCTCCCCCCCCCCCCCCACACTGCTACATGTGCGGCAGTGAGAGAGAGAGGAGGGGCGGCAGCTGGTTGCTCACGGGCAGGGCGCAGGGTGCGACGGGTAGGCACAGGGTGCGACGGATAGGGCGCAGGGCGCAGAGCACCGAGTGCGAGGGGACGGGACGGACGGGACGGATGGGATGGACAGGCGCAGGGCGCAGTGCGCAGGGGACGGTACGGACGGGACGGACGGGACGGGACGGGACGGGACGGGACGGACGGGGGGACGAGACGGGACGGACGGACGGACGAGACGGATAGGTTGGACAGGGCGGACGGGACTGCACTGGGGTAGCGCGCGAGCGACGGGTTGCAGCACTGAAGCGCCCATGAGGCGCACCTACGAGGTGCGCCATTGGGAAGTGGTGGGCCCATAAAAAAAAAAAAAAAAAAAAAAAAAAATCCTTAGGAAAGACCCGAAGCCTCCACTGTGTTGGACTATATATATGTAACTGTTTGGGTTGTACCCCATATTGGCTACCCCACTACAGCCTACCAACATATAACACATTACAATTTAACACACCCCCATAGGCAAAGTGGGGGAGAACAAAGGGTCACAAGACCAGTCCAGCAAAGCAACGCAAGCCCAGGGTGGATCACAACGTCACCACACTCCGAGCACAAGCAAAGGCCACAAGGCCAGTTCACATGTAGTGCTAGATATAGTACAAGACAAGCAACACAGTGATCAAAACCTAGCAAGCAAGCAACAAGATATATATAAAGTACAGTACAAAGAATGTCAAGCAGTGAGCAAGTGAGGAAACGTGGACACAAGGCCTAAAGAAGTACAGTGCCGCTGATGATCACTAGGCGGGAGCGCCTTGGTGAAGATATCAGCAGTGTTGGCCTTCGAGTCCACGTACACAAGCCGAAGCTGACCGCGCTGCTGAAGCTCTCGAGCAAGAAAGTAGCGAAGAGCAATGTGCTTCGTCCTGTGCTCCAGTCTGTGCTCCTGACACAAGGCAAGAGCCGCCTTGTTGTCACCGTACAGAACTGGAGGAGAACTAGGCCGCTCTCCCAAGTCAGTCAGCAGGTAGGTGAGCCAGCGTAACTCCTGTGCAGCCATGGCTGTGGCGTAGATCTCAGCCTCACAACTAGAGCCGAGAACAGAGGAAGAGCGGGTGGACCGCCACGAGACAGAACCAGAGCCAAGGCTGAAGGTGTAACCCTGTGACGACCGCTGCGTAGCCAGGTCGTCCACCCAAGAAGCGTCCGAGTGACCAGTGAGGACAACTCTGTCGCGTCCTCCAAGCACCAGCCCCATGCCTGATGTACTGCACAAGTAACGCAGCACCCTCTTAGCAGCCTCCCAGTGCTCTCGCCTGTGTCTCCCAGGCGCAACGTAACGAGCAAGGATGCTAAGAGGGTACGCGAGGTCAGGTCGCGTGCAAGTCATCAGGTACATGAGGCAGCCTACAAGCTCTGGGTACGGGCCACTCGGCTCTACGGACTCGTCCGAAGGTGGAGCTGAGAGCGAGTGGCTGGTAGCCAGAGGTGTGGCCTGTGGTGAGGAGAACTGGAAGCCGAAGCGCTGAAGGACCTGCTGCACCATGTGTGACTGAGTCAGGGTGATGGTGCGGCGAGCTCTGTCCCGGGTGATCTGCAAGCCAAGGTAGCTACGCAGTTCACCCAGGTCAGTGCAGGTGTGTCTCTTCTGCAGCTCCGACTTCACACGAGCGAGTGCCTCAGTGTCAGCAGTAGCAAAGACCAAGTCGTCGACGTACACGAGAATGTAGAACGGCGGCAGCGACGTGTCTGTGCGCAGAAACAGCGACGGGTCAGCAGTAGACGGCGCGAACCCAAGAGCCGCAAGTGTAGTCCTCAGTGTGTCGTGCCACTCACGTGGCGCCTGGCGGAGACCGTAGACTGGCCGGCGGAGGCTCCACTGGGTACCAGGGGGAAACGACCCAGTAAAGCCAGGTGGGCGGCGCAGCCAGATCTCCTCGTGCAGGCTGCCCTGCAGGAACGCTGTGCTGAAGTCAAGAGAGTGAAGCTCGTAGTCACGCTGAGCAGCAACGTGCAGCAGAACCCGAAGAGTGGTCATCTTCGGGGTGGGGGAGAAGGTCTGGAAGAAGTCGACCCCCTGACGCTGACTGAAGCCTCTAGCAACGTAACGAGCCTTGAAGACAGGCGGAGAACCTGGCGGCCGCTTCACCCTGAAAATCCACATGCCATCGACGATGTTCGCCCCAGGAGGGGGAACCTCGTCGACGTAGGTGCCTGTGGACTTCCAGGATGCCATCTCTGCGTCCATGGCTGTCTGCCACTGAGAGGAGTAGGGACCCGAGATCGCCTCTGCGTAAGTGCGCGGAGTGGGGATGTCTAGTGCATCCGGGTCTCCCTCAGGGGCAAGCAACCAGGCCACGAGATGAGGTACAGCAGCCGCGAGAGAGTCAAAGTCCTCCTGCCTGTCCTCAAGGACGTCCGTGCCAAGAGCACACTCACCCCCGACGGACGGAGGACAGACAGACGCAGACTCAGACTCAGCAACAAGGCTAGCAGCGTAGTCTAGACGACAGGCAGCAGCAAAGTCAACCAACTCAGCGACCAGAGCAGACGCAGCCGAGGACTCAAAGGTAGGGTCAGTGACAACAGTAGCTAGGAGACGCGTGACAGTAGGGTGCTCAGCGCGATACCGGTCAGACTCAGGGTCCGGAACGGCAGGCAAAGAGGACGCAGGAGGAGACGGTAGAGGGACACGCTGAGGAGCAGTAGAGGGACGCAGAGTCATGTAGTGAGTGCCTGGGACAGGAGGAGGACGCTCACGACGGACACGACTACCAGTGCGAGCAGGACGAACAGGCGACGCAGGACGAGACTCAGGCTCACGACGCTCTGTAAGACCTCCTGTGGGACCAGTGTAAGGAGAGGGAGCAGGGAGAGGCGAGGTAGGCGGTAACTGTGACTGCGGCTGGACAGGCGGAGGACACTCTATGGAGGGAGGAGGACAAGGAGGAGGAGCCTGCCCAAGAACCTGCTGAAGGAGCGGTACGAAGTACGGTCGTGGCCGCGCAGCGTCTCCAGAAGCAGAAGAGACTCCAGCGGCCGGGTCCTCAGTACCAGCAGGAGCTCCAACGGCCGGGTCCCCAGCACCAGCAGCAGCGCCACCGCTCGGGTCCTCAGCTCCAGCAGCAGCTCCAACGTCCGAGTCCTCAGCACCAGCAGCAGCTCCACCAGGTGGGTCCGCAGCACCAGCAGCAGCGCCACCCCCAGGGTCCGCAGCACCGCTAGGAAGAGCACCCCCAGAGTCGGCAGCTCCAACTCCGCTAGCACCGCCAGCTCCAGAGTCCCCAGCTCCAGCAGCTCCAGTCGTAGCGCTCCCAGAACAACCAGTCCCGGCAGCTCCAGTACCCCCAGTACGAGCACCCCCAGGACGAGCAGCTCCAGCACCCCCAACTCCAGCCGAGCCACGAGGACGGCGAAAGCGCCGGACGTACCAGTCACGAAGCTGCTGCGGTGTGAGAGACTGCTCAGCACCCCGAACCGGAGCACCCCCAGACGCAGCAACCCGAGGCTCCGTAGGCTCAGTAGCAGCACCCCCAGGCTCAGT